GATTACTTGGGTGCTGCCAGCTTTGGGCATGTGGGCAGGATTTAAATAAACCCAACCCAAGGAAAACTGTTACGGTACCCTTCATTCCATGACATAACATTTTTTCATATTATCTCGCAAATCTCTGTTTTGGACGAGACTGACTTTATGACCAAAATGATCCTATTTACACTTTGTAGTAAATTTTGACACTACAATAAATGTTTCTGATTCGATGCCACATAGGCCGTGGCCACATAGAAGTTGCATTTCATCAGCAGTCACTCTTTAACATAGTAAAACTAAGATGGGTCAAGTGTGGTACAGATGAAGGATCTTAATTTAAGCCAGTTTACTACAGCAGGAAACTTATCCTGCAGCAATAGGAAATGTGAATTATTATGTGGATTATAATTAATCTAAAATTGTTGTTGGGGTTGAATCTGACATTTCTAAGTGGAAATTAAAACCTTCAGAAGCCTTTTTAAACTAAAATACACTACAAGTTTTACATTTCCTGCAATGCTAGAAAGTTCTCCTGCAACAAGGTGATCAAATTAAGATCCTACAACTCTATTTTGATAAGGATTTTTTGTGTATCTAAATAAATGTTGTAATCTTACAATTATTTTAGATTTAGGTGCCTAGAATGCGCCCTTTCTCCCACAATATGGTGAACAGTGTAAAAAGTTTCAATGTTTTTTTCTGTCATGCAAAGAAATGACACCAAAATTGTCAACCAAAAACATTATTCTATTCTATGCTCTTCAGAATCAGATATAACCAAAAACTGACTTTTCACCTATAGCTGGCAACAACTCCTCAGGGGACAGAACATAGTTTTTCAGCTCTGTGTATCAGTTGTATAGCATCTATACCGTCCTAATAGCAGCTGTTTAGGCAAGCCTTTGATAATAAATGATGCTGATCTTTGTCTGCTGTGGCTGAGGCTGGGATTTAGTTGAAGGTTAAATGCCCTACCCTTAGACTCATCCTCCACTGAGCCAGAGCAGAGTGTGCAAGGCAGGCTGGGAGGCAAGGTCAGCACTCCAATCAACCTGGTGCAAACACAAAGGCTGGGCTGTGCCCCTAATGAATTGGCGCCCCAGTCCCACAGAGTCCCTCACAACCACAGGCCACAGCTCTCATCTGCCCCGCCCCCAGGCCTTCTCAGCCACTCTGAGCCCTTCTCCCCTTTCACACGCACCCCCTAACCTCCTAATTTTGAAATGACTTTTATAACTGGACAGTAAACTTGCAGTGGCTTAATGATGATGACTTCTTCATCTGCCCAAATGCTCCTTTTGTCCGCCTCCCCCAGCCCCCCATCAGCCCTTCCCCAGCCCCTCCGTCACAACAGGCCTTAAACCCTAGTTCACTCCCCTTTATAGTCCCCACTGGCTAATCCACCCCACCACCCACCACCCCTACAGCCCCAGGCTCTTGTCCCACTTTCCTGGCCCTGGCCTGGTTGAGCTCTCTTTTCTTTTCTCTGTGCTGCTGTTGTCGACATCAGCTATGGCATTCATCTGGAATGCTGCTGCTGGCTGCCTTTTGTTTGCGTGGCCTGGCTCAGCCTAGGGGAGGGGGGGGGGGGGGGGGGGGGGGGGGGGGATTATAGCAGGGGGACAAGCTGCCACCCGGCTAGTAAGTGACTGTGTCACACCTCACACCGTGGAGGTAGCCAACATGGGAGAGAAGAAGGTGCAACGGGGCTCGGTGAGGGACTTTTGTTGTTGTTGTTTTGCCATCTTGTTGTTTCATGCAGCAGGTCTTCAGACACGCTGTCCCGTTTAACACCTCGGCTCTCCTTTCTCTCCTACAAACCTGATACTGATCCCTCATCTCACTCACTTCTACAATAACATTTTACTTCCGTAGTCATTGACTCTGTTTCAGTGTATCTTCATTTCGATGTGTTTTTGCTAAAGCAGAATGACCCTCTCCACATAGTGTTAACATCAGGTCTAAATGTATAGGTCTGAATGCATGTTTTGACCTCGGCACGCAGTCAATATTGCGGTTCACATTCGCTTGATTCTCAAATTGTTGTTATTTTTTTCGGAACATTTTCTTTTGAACGTGTTATACTTGTATCAATTAAGTATTGCAACACCTATCAGGTGTAATAATGAGTCAGTCATTGGAGTCAGTCAAAGCTGCAATGTGCTCAATTCAACCCAATGAAGCTGAGTCAGTACTGAGCTAAGACAAAGCAACTTTCCCCCTGGGAATCTAGAAGACAAGAGGAGAAATGGAGGCTACCATCCCCTGTCCCCCTTGGAATCTAAAGACAACAGGGGATAGGAGACCCCCAGTCCCCTATCCCCCCTCTCCTGTCCACCTGTCCTCCAGTCACCCTGTCACATGACCCATCTTTCCTCAGGTGGCAGTGGAGGGTGGAAGGGCCACTTCCCCTTTGTCAGGCCCTTTGGCTGGCCCTCAATACAGTGGTGAGGGATGGGTGGAAGGAGGGCCACAGGGCCAGCATTCAGACCCAGGCTCTTTTGTTTTCTCACACAGGGCTCTTTTGAAGCCAAAGAAACCACTGGGCTTACTCATTATCTTCATTTCAAATGGGTCTATTTAAAAGTGGCTGCTGTGTCAAAGTCAGGGAGGGAGGGAGCTGCTGCTGGGAGCTGGAGGGAGATTAATCACACTGTGACACTCCTCTTCCCCGGTTGAACTTGCTGCTGCCGCTGGTCTGGATGAAATAAGCTTATTATGGGAGTTTTTGATTGGTCATATGTTGATTTACATCAGACAGGAAACTGTAATGTTTACTAAAGTTACTAGTCTCCTCTTAGTGCACAAGTCATCTATTTATTTCATTCTTTCCTACAACTGTTTCAAATGGACTACCCCCTGGAGCCTATAGAGTCCATACAGACAGACAGACAGACAGACAGACGCTGTGTAGTATAATAATACAATTTACACAAACCCTGACGTTCAGCATAGAATGCACGATGTGTGTATGATGAATGAGTGGTGAGGAGTAATGGAGCCCTGATTGGCTAATGTCCCAGTTTATAGCAGTCTCACACACCGCCTGTGGCCCACATACTATAACCATTGGTGAGGAGGTGAGAAGAGTTATACGGACAGATTAAACCAACTGTTGACTAGATCTGCAGTAATGAACTGAAGACTAAGTCAGTCACTCAGTCACACTGCTTGCCTGGCTATGCAAAGATGAAATTGAAAGAATTACAGTTAAACAAAATGGTCGTTATCAACATCCTCTGAATTAATATTTCATCTGTCTGTGTATTTCTCTTTAATGATCCAGGATAACGGAATTATATTATGAATCCATATTCAGAATCCAATATTTTAGTAAAATAATGTTAAGATTATTATGAATGGCTCACCAACTGGCTTACTCAGGCGTGTCATTTTTCTAAGAATGGACTGTTGTAAAGAAGGTTTCAGGTGAAGGAGACAAGAGACAGATGGTGTTGTAGTGAATATATTGTATAGCTCTTTTGAGGTTGTTTTAAGTCTCCCTAATGTTGGATTTAAAGAGTGAGAATTATAATGTAGTCATTGGCACATCCACATGAGGTCAAATATCAATGTTAGAAAAAGTGTAAAAGGGGTCCGTGCGAAGTATGGAGTGGAGTGTGTCTTCTCTATTGTCACGTGGCTGTGTGTTGACTTGGGAATTTTCTTCGTTTGCTTGAGAAATTCTCAGCAACTTTACTTAAACATAGATATGAATAACTTGGTTTAGAAAAAAACAAGACCCAGACATAGGGATTACAGGCTTGTTGGGGAAATGTTTTTATGCATAGTAACCTTTAAACTGGTCACTCCATGGACGAGGCTAGCGTAAATTATTAACAAAGACTATTGTGAGATTGCAGCCAAAACAGGAACCAGGCACAGTGTAAGCAAGGATTGATTTGGCCGTCAGTTAGCTCCTTAGATTTAGCATTCAAAGTCATATGAAAGTGGAGATGTGAATGACACTGACACACAACAGCCCTTTGCTCTAGCGGCATTGGATCTGAAGAGAGAGAGAGTGGGGGAGAGAGCTAGAGAGAGTATTATATTTTTCTCATACTCAGCCAATAGGTTGGGATCTGATTGCAACGTTACAAATGCATTGTTGTGAGAACCTAGAATGTTCAAAAGCCTAGTTAGAACATTCCGTGTGAGGAAACCACTGGTGAGGAGAAGGTGAATTGATTAGTTCCCAAAAAGTATCCAAAGTCCCTATATCATTGGAAAAATACAGTGTTCTATTGTTATGTTGTTTATGTGCTGAGGGAAACTTCTCTACCTGTACAGTATATTAGCCATGATATGACATAACATACTTTATTTTCACGGAATGAACCCAAAATGCTTTTAAGTCATATCATGCATTTCTTAGTTTCCGGAAAATCTGTCACCCCAGCGCTCCATTGACCCAGTGTTAGTAATGACGAGGCATTTGACCAGCCAGCCAGGCTATAATGACACTATAATCCTTGACATCTGTCCACCCAGTGCCTGTTGATTTGTGGTGGCGGTCGGTGGATCCCCAGTTTATTTATTTTGACCAGATGAGCCCTTGGTATTTATAGCGGGGGTAAAACTCTCCAGTCAGGGGTCAGTCCCAGTCTCCATCCCAGTCCCAGGCCTGTAGTCTGTTCTGTAGGGCCAGGGTCCCAGCCCGGCCAAGAGGGAAAAAATGCACAGAGCTGACCTGACATTCTTCTTGTCCCCATTTTGCCAGTGGTTGGGGTTGCCCTATCTCTAAATTGGCCCTAATAAAAAAAGGGAGTGGCAGAGAGAGAGAGAGGGAGAGACAGGGGTGAAAGTAAAGAAAGAGGAGGGGGGTGATTTTGATTAGACTTTGGTAATCTAAGAACTGTATGGTATAGTAGTTCCATTTCTCCAGTGTGTCATCCTGCTGTGTCATGGTTTCCCCTGTGTTGTTGGCGTGTTAAATGCTGATGGTCACGCGTGTCGGCGTGGTGTGACCGTGTGGCAGGAGGGGATGTTGCTCCATGTCTTTGTTTCCTGGCCAGGCAGGACGGCCCTCCAAGAGCATCTGTCACTACAGGGGGTCAGAGGGGCCAAGATGAATGAGGCCCCAGAGAATTCACTCAACACACAGCAAATGGCACAACATAGGGGAGGGACAAGGGGACTGGGGGAGGATGTGTGTGTGCTTGGGTGTGTGTGTGTTTGACTCAGAGAGAGAGAGGGGTTCTGCTGTACTGAAGGAAGGAGGAGTATTTGCTGTCCATACTGTGGAGGAGTTTAATTACCAAGGAGCTGCTGATGGCTTGGGGACACACCAGTTGAGAATTAATCAACCCTCCTTGGATATTTCCTCACTCTTTTCCTATTCCTTAGGACATACCTATCACCCAAAATGGACTACAATTCGTGACTTTGTGATTTATTTATTTGGCATTGTGGAATTTAGTGTTTGGTGGTGGGGCGTTTTTTGTGTTTTCGAAGTATTGTCTGGCTGGCTGGTCGAGAACCCTTGGAAGGTATGGGAGCATTTTAGATTGTTTAGTCTGGCACTTTACTGGATTTCCACTAACATGATGTTGATGGCTCAGCTTTTAGCGCCTAATTTAAGGGACATGGAAATGTTAGTCCTTTTTTGCATAGCCCCCATCCCCCTCTCCTCTCCTCTGCTATACTGATTTGTACTCTCTTACTCATTCATGGATTTTCTAATGTTGACAGTACACTCTTAGTAAAAAGGGTTCCAAAAGGGTTCTTCAGCTGTCCCCATTGGAGAACCCTTTTTGGTTCCATGTAGAACCCTTTTTGGTTCCAGGCAGAATTATTTTGGGTTACATGTAGATCCCTCTGGGGAAAGGGTTCTACATGGAACCCAATAGGGTTCTACCTGGAATCAAAAGGGTACTTTCTGGAACTAAAAAGGGTTCTTCAAAGGGCGAAGAAGAACCCTTTTAGGTTCTAGATAGCACCTTTTTTTCTAGGAGTGTAGCCAACAGTCATTGTTCCTGTATTTCTGTGAAACCAGTCCTAAGATATGTAGTTCATTTACTTGAATGATTATGGAAGTCTGTTTTATCATGATATATTGTAAGTAATGATGACTGGCAAAAGCTTGTGTGAATATTTCAATAATAAAGTAAAGAGATAGTCAATAGTCATATTTTTACCATGTTCTGAATGATCTAAATCATTATAGACTATTATATCACTATGTGTTGTAGAAAAAGCATGTTCAGGATCACCGAGCCAGTGTCAAGTTGTTCTGCATCTACCCCGGCTTTCCCTTTTTTCCTTCCTTTTCAACACGTGTGTGTGTTTGTGTGTGTGTGGTGTGTTTGCACACGCACACACATCTATTTGTGCCAGTGCCTATGTGCATGTATGTGGATACAGTAGCATGTTAGATTTCTTACCGTGAAACCCTTGACTGACTTTACAACATTGCAGTGTTGTCTTTGAAGAAAAGGTTCCAGGAGTGATAGAGTGGGTCTGAAACAGGTTGTGACCAAGGGGAAGTAGATGTAATCCCTCTCTATCCTCCCTCTATCCCTCCATTGTCAGGAGTGTAACGTCATTATGCAGATGAAGGAAGAAACAATAAGGGGAGTGAGTGGCGTGGGGAACCAGAGCTAGGCAAGAGGGAGGGAGGGAGGGATGGAGGGAGGAGAGGGTTTCTTTCATGCTCGGTCTTGCGTGGCTTCTCTCTCATCTCTCTCTCTCTAGCTCTCTCTCATCTCGTCTCTCTCTCTTCTCTCTTCTCTCTGCTCGTCTCTTCTCTCTCTCATCTCTCTACTCTCGCTCTCTCGCCTATCTCCTCTCTCTCTACTCTCTCTCTCTCTCTCTGATCTCGCTCCCTCTCTGCTTATCCCCTCTGCGAGATCTCGGTCTCTGCACTAATATCTAACATTTCTTAGGATTTAAATCCATATCATCAAAATAGGTGGTCTGTTTTCACATCGTTCATGATTAAGCTATTTTACGCATATGCATGCATGGGTGCTACTGTGCACATGTGGGTGTTTGTGTGTGTGTGCACCTCTGTGGCCACCACCTTGAATTCCCTCCTTACACCCCTCAGGCAAAATTCCCTACCAGCATGTCATGCTGAAAGGGCCCTAAAATGTCATTACCAGACGAACAGGATCCCAGCCGTTAGGCACCCGAGGCTGTGCCTGAGTATGTCTAGATTTACGGCTCCGTTGGGTCAGGCACATCTCACTGGCCATCTGCAGTGTCCACCTTTCACCGCTAGATTATTAGTCTTTAAAAAAACAAACATATTCTTATTGTTGTCACATTTAGTTGAGAGGTGAACCTGCACGTAAGCATTTAATTGTACTGAGTACACCATGTGTATCTTGGGCATATGACAAATAAACTTCATTTGATTTGATTTGATAGCCATGAAAATATTTCAACACTCTGGCCAAGTGAGGGGTTAATGCCTTTGATAGTGATCCTGTGATCATGGACATAGATACAGGGTCATGTTAAGATTGATGTGTAGTGTAGACTTACTGATAGGCCAGTGTGATAAGAATTTCTTATAGAATGGGTTATATTACTGTGAATGCAGAGTTAGCTGCCTAGAGGGCCTAAAGGCGTGTTACTAGAAGTGAAGGAAGATTCGGATGTTCAGTCTGTACTAAAGAGAACGTTCCCTAAACTCATACAGCGTTCCTGTAAAGTTATAGCACTGCCTGACTTGGATGGTATGGAATTTGCATGACCTCCCTTATCCCCCTGTCCCCTTGTCCCTCCCATTGACCATGTAGCTCTGGAGTTTGATTAGCCCTATCAGCGTGAGGCTAATCATTCACAAAGTTAACTACTTCAATGTGGTTAACAGGACAAATCAGTGTGTATGTAATGCCAGGGCGAGGACTTGGGCCCCAGACACCAGGCACTAGGTCCCAAAAACTAAACAACAAGGACCGTGCATTACAGGATGGTGACAGGGAGCATTCTTGTGACAGTCAATGTTTTGAAGGGAACTTTGTATCAGCTTAGTTGTATAAGGTCTACGAGTGGGTAAACAATGCTAGGGGTCAAAGTGGAAGTACAGATGTAGGATCTTAATTTGATCACCCTGTAGCTGCACAGCAGGAAATGCAAACGTGTAGTGTATTCAAGGTTTAAAAAGGCTTCTAAAATTTGTAATTTACACTTTAAAATGTCAGACTTAATTTAACAAAACATTTATCAAACCCTGCAAAAATGTCCATTAATTATAATCCACACAATAATTCAAATGTCCTATTGCTGCAGGATTATTTTCCTGCTGTGAGAAACTGGTCAAAATTAAGATCTTATATCTGTACCAGTTTTGAGTAGTTGGTGGTGTTTGTGTGTGTGTACATGTGTGCGCCCATATACAGTATGTGTGTGTGTGTGTGTGTGTGTGTAGATGACCATAAACCCTAACACTCCAGTGTGTTTTACAAAAATACCCAGAGGCTACCGTATCACATAACCCCTGTTCAACGCCAACGGTCACTACATATGTCATGGTTTTGTGCAATCTGTTAAGCTCCTCTTAACTTTTGAGTGGCCTCTCTCATTGCTCTAAGTGCAGCCATTAATTTTCATGGTCAGACATGTTGTGTGGAATGTACTGGCTATTTAAAAGCTTTTGTGTGTCTTTAAACCTTGAGTTTCATTTCAATAGGATTTTTTAAATATTGGGTTTGATTTGATATCTTGAGATGAGGTCCTGTAGGCCTACCGTATGTTACTTGCAGCAAACACTTCTCCTTGCATACAGTATATCAACTGTGTCAAAGTCTGATTTGACGCTCTCCTTTACATACACCTGTGTGACATGATCGTCTTGCTTAGTGTACTAATCAGTTTCAGACAATTAGCCTACAATAAACATTTAGCCTACTATACAGTATGTCTCCTATATTACATGTGTCAGTTCATTTGATCCTTGGGTGAAGATTTATTCTGTTAATCTCATGTATTCATTTTACCTCTCTCTAGAACAGTGCTGCTGAGGGGAATGTCACTGCAGGACGTTTCTACACAGCAGTTCTTCTGACCCAGCATGTAGCAGAGGAGAACAAATCCCTTCACGCCTGGGAACAATCACACAAGGTAAGGTCAGCTACACCAAGATGATGTGATAATACATGAGATTATCATGTTTTAAAGCAGTGTCTGGAAAGTGAGGTAAAGTCTGAATGGGAAAGATGTATAAAAAGAGGAAGGAGGGTCTTGTTCATTAGGGCACACCGTAGTATAACATGTCAAAACGTGAAACCATGACGAGCATTTCTTATTGGACAAGTTCAGATGGTACCTCCCTATTTCACTCAATTTCTGACCATTTTCTTCAATTTTATGCCGAATGAACAAGACCTATGTTTTCTCCCATACGGCCTCCTGGACTTTGCAAGCTTGTCACAGGACCAGACCTTAATTCTGACCGGGGGTTAGATTCTTGCAATATGACCATTATGGCCACCCAGGCTCAGGAATCTGTAGAATAATCTGAGACCAGTTTTCTGGCCAGCTTCCAGTTGCCTCTGAGAAAATCAAAATCTCAGTCACTTCACTTCTCCAAACATGATTCTGTCACTACCTGAAAACACAGATCAGACACTATTTCATCATTCATCAAACAGAAAAACATCAACTGGAACCACATCTGAAACCACTCCTGACCAACCCACTTCCTCTATCTCTCTCCTGCTCCAGCCACATCCATTAGGCCACCTTTGCCACGGTGTGGCTTTGTTGTGATGGAGCATGTGAGGAAAGGTCTCCTGTGTTCCCCTCTCCACCTCTCCCATGTGTCAGCTGTGTAAGGTCACGACTTTGACTTCACTGTGTGAGGTTAAGGACAAATCTGTTCTCTGCTGCTCTGGGCTCTTGGGTTGATCTGGAAGCCGTCTGGAGCACCTCTTAAGGCATCAGCATGCTTTGGTTCAGCTCGGCTAGGCGAACCGAACGAGTGTGCTCGCATACTCCCTTAAAAGACCTTTGCTTGAAAAATTAGAAAAAAGCGGCATAGTACTGTTTGTCCATTTTGAGACACCGTAGCCAGACTGCCTCAAAATAGTCCGAAGATAACTCAAGAAAACTGTAAATAATTTTTATGTTTTTGCCGAGGAGATCTTAGTTGCCCAGTTCTACATCTAACTAAGATGTTTGGTGCAGTATTTCCCAAGTGGAAAAATGTGCATGAAACCGACTTCGGCTACCGACTTCAACTTTAAGTGTGCACGAACAGCCGAAAAAAGACCAAAACTAACAAAACGTCACAAAATGTTGTCATGGATGGGAAGCATGTGGACGCCTTTAGCCCCCTTTACCAGGCTCCGCCACCTCTTTAAACACCCCTTGGGTAGTTCTCTCTCTATATCTTTCTACCTTTCTCCATCCATCCACCCGTCAGTGGAGGGAGAAATACTGTAGCTTCTTTATGTTAAGCTGCTTATCTCTGTCAAAGCACAATCAGGCACCACACTTAATCTTGTCCTGGTTTTGTCTGCCTTTGTCTGCCTGTGGGAATGGAGGAAAACAAAAAAAAAAAAGAGAGAGGAGAGAGGCAGGAGGAAGAGGAGATATAGAGAGAGAGAGAGTAGAGAGAGAGAAGAAGAGGGAGAGGAGAGAGAGAGAGAGAGAGAGAAGAGGGAGAGAGCCGAGAGAGAGAGAGAGATATTCGAGAGAGCTCTCTCTCTCTCTCTCTCTCTATCTCTGCTATCTATCTCTCTATCTCTCTCTCTCTCTCTCTCTCTCTCTCTCTCTCTCTCCCTCTCTCTCTCTCTCTCCCTCTCGCTCAAGTCAAAGGGCTTTATTGGCATGGGAAACATATATGTACATTGCATGGGCGGCAGGTAGCTTAGTGGTTAAGAGCGTTGTGCCAGTAACCGAAAGGTCGCTGGTTCTAATCCCCGAGCTGACTAGGTGAAAAATCTGTCGATGTGCCCTTGAGCAAGGCACTTAACCCTAATTGCTCCTGTAAGTCGCTCTGGATAAGAGCGTCTGCTAAATGACAAAATAAAAATTGCCAAAGCTGTCTGGCTCTCTCTCTCTCTCAATTTCAATTTAAGGGGCTTTATTGGCATTGAAAAAAAAGTTTACGTTTCCAAAGCAAGTGAAATAGATAATAAAAAAAAGTGAAATACACAATAAAAAATGAATAGTAAACACTACACTTACAAATGTTCCACAATAATAAAAACAGTTCAAGTGTCTCGCTCTCTCTTTATTCTCACTCTCTCTACCCCTCTTCCCTCTGGGTAGGTTCTTGGGGAATCACCCAGGCTGGAACCTGTTCAGGCATGGGACAGGGTAGGGAAAGAACAGGAACTTCATTTTGAATAATAGTTCATTTAAAAGGGTGAAAAAAAGCTTTTGAGTAGAATCAACATAGAAACTGAATAGTGCTTTTGTATTTGATTGAGCTCAGTAAAATAGATACTCTTGATTTAATGATTAACCCAGTTAAGTCTTGGTTGGTTATATTTCATGATGGTTACCTTAGGCAAGGGGTATTTTGTCCAGTGGCAATTCACCTGTCAATCAAATTAGCTGGATTGGATGCAACTAGTTTTATAGATGTAAAACATAGATACAAATTGGTTAGTTATATTTAAATGTGATTTGTCTGCAAATGATGTAGGTACTATAGATATAATGTGTAGTCTATATTCCTGTCAATGTCTTTTATATTGCAGATACAGGATTTTGTTTTGGAATCGTTTTTTTGATGGCCAGGCCATTTATAAATCGCTTGGCATAGTCAAAATGTAATATTGCTAGGCATAGTGTTAGTCAAAATACATGATAGCACAAATAATCTTGCCCCTAAATAAAACACCTGCACAGACAATGTGATGGTTACAGAGTCCTAGCTGTTCCCAAACAGATGAAGCCTTCAACCTGTGGCTTGACTTGGCTGTTAATGGCTGCGTTTATACAACACTACAGCAACACCCGCAAATGTAGCCCAAGGACAAAAGTAGGGAGGGTTTTTCAGGCCAAGACCATATGTTAGCTGGCAAAAAATGTTCCTTTCTTTTCAGTCCTTTATAATTGTAAACCCTGCAAATGGCTGGGTGATATGAAAAGGGCAATGACCAGAAAAAGGAGAGGAGAGTTAAGGAGAGTTATTTAAGGAGAGCTATTTAGTTGGACAGTCTATATCAGTCATTCAATATGGGGGTACTTGGCTATTACCCTTGCCCTGCACTGGTCACTTCTGTTCTATTTGAACAAGGGCTTTTCACTAAGCTTTCCCCCATCTCTCCTTACACTCTATCAGTGCCACCAGGCCACATTTGTCCGCCTGTCTGTCCAGCTGCCACCTGCTGCCCAACCCCAACCCCAGGCCCACACAGCCGACCTCGGCAGATGTCTGAAGAGTGGACCAAAGGAGGGGGCAACGGGGCCAGGGTGACATACAGAAAGCGAGGGAAAGACATAGAGACAAAATTAGAAAGAAATAGGGGAAAGAGATAAAGACAGAGGGGAAAAAAGGGAAAGAGAGTGAGAGATTGTGTGTGTGTGTGTGTGTGTGTGTGTGCTTAGATGCATCTTCCTAGCATCTTTATGACCCCTGGACATGTATCGTTTGTAGATTGGATTTCTACTCTGATCTCTATTACTAATGGACGTGGATGGAGCTGAGCCTTGAGTGGATAGCCGTGCTTTGTTCATGCTATACCCTTCTTCTCATTACAGATCATGGGGAATTCGTACGCAGGGCAGCTGAAATCTGCTCGCTTCGAGGAGGCCCTCCACAACTCCATCAAGGCCTCCCTACGCTCCAGCAGTGGAGACCCACAGCCCATCTTCACCCAGCTATACCTGGAGCCTGACCAGTATCCTGGCAACATGGATGGTACTTGTCTCTGTCTGCATGGCTCCATTCTCTGTCCTTATCAAGGTCGTTATGTATAGAAACAGAACAAAACACTAGCTATAGCTAGCTGCCTCTTTCATTAGTGGATTATAGATAACAGAAACACATGGGAAAAAACATCTTTCTCTGATCATGTTTAATTATTCTAATGATAACCAGTTGAATGGGACTTGAGAATCAGTCATTACATTATACCCACACAGCAAATCCATATAATCTCACTAATTTAGTTCTCTTGAAGAGAGGTAGACTTGAACGTGGCCATGTAATGTGTTATGGGTTTGTCCTTCTCTTGAAAAGGGCTTGCAAAGTCTTCAGTCTCCATCTCCTTGCCTTCCTCTGGCATCTTTACTCCAAGATAATTTAATGAGTTGTGTGATGTGGTGTATTATGGTGACATTATGTCTTACGGGGTCATTGTGTGTTATGGGGTCAGATATAAAGCCCAAGGTGGACCTGTACCTGCCGTGCGGGGAGCCTACGGGTCAGGATCTGCTAAACGGCCAGGCCTCTAACGGTCTGGAGGAGCTGGAGGAGGAGGACGACTCTGACACCAGCAGCCCTCCCCTGCCCTACCTACACCAGGGCCCCATGCCCGACGGCTGCTGCACTATGGATGGTAGGCCTAAAAAAAACATCTCAAACTCCTTTCGCCTTGGGACTTTCCCAGAAGTTGAGAACCCCTGGGATTCAAATCCTTGCTAAAAAGCACATCTTGTACATTCTGTACCTAGGAACACCACATGTTTGCAGCAATTTTCACCTTAGTATGTTCCAGTGTAACGCAGACATGTTATAGATATTATTCAGCATGTTAACGACAATAATACTAATTCCAGTGAAAGCGACCATGGTATGTGTACTGTGTGTTATTGTTGTGGATGTTTACTCCTGAGCTGTCTGTTGTTCTCTCTCTTCTCCTCAGGGTTCTGTCAGGCTGGAAAGGACCTCCGTCTGGTCTCCATGGCGATGGAACCGATCGAAGTCCCAGCTGGCTTCGAGCTTGTCGGTGCCAAGTCCTCCAGCGTCCCAGAGCACATCCTGGTGTGTGCCGTGGACAGGCGGTTTCTGCCTGATGAGAACGGGAAAAATGCACTTTTAGGTTAGTCTGTCATCCCTCTGTGACCTGATACGATACAAAGATCGTGCACAGGTCTGAGTTTCAGGAAATTGAATGTTCTTTAGGCCTCTGACGGAGACTGAGTGAAATGATGTTCTATTTGACCTACTTTTAGGTCCATCTCTCTGACGTGATATACTGAGATAGACATATGACTATTTTACCCTCTCAGCTTGGATGGGTCATCGGAAATGCTGGATTTTTACCACCCTCCATACTGTAGCTTGCTACTACTTTTGGTTACTGTTGCATTCAGCCTTTGATTAACCTGTGCTGTGGCCTCCTAATGCAATATTGAATTGAATGGCTTATATTTGCTGTTCAGAAATGTTTGGCGATAGAAATATTGATATAACACTATAATGTATCCATATAATATGTTCTCTATGTGTTGTGTGTGCAGGGTTTTCAGGGAACTGTGTTGGCTGTGGGGAGAAGGGGTTCCGGTACTTTACTGAGTTCTCCAACCACATCAACCTGAAGCTGGCCACACAGCCCAAGAAGCAGAAGCACTTAAAGTACTACCTGGTGAAGAACTCTCAGGGTGCTCTGTGCAAAGGACCCCTCATCTGCTGGAAAGGTGAGATGTCTCTCTGACCCTATCTGCATTAATTTCACACACTTTCTGTAACACTTTACATTGAATTGCTCTTATACCTGTGTAGTAACACTGTAATTACACTAGTAACATTGTATGTTTCTACAACGTTACATGATGTTGCATAGTAATTTAGTAAATGCATTATAAATGCATAGTAGCCTAATGGAGTTGAGCGGTTTTTGTAATATCGTTTGTAATTACTAAAATATGGTATTGGTCTGGGGCTATATTATTTTTATGACCCATCAATATATATACAACATTGATAATTGATTGATTCACTGATAATATGTTTCCAACTCTATTTAAAAAAGTTAATTGCTCCCCTCCTTTTCCCCAGACTGCAAGACGCGTCAGTTCTCCAGCAGCAGTGTGTCCACCTCCAAGCCCAGCTCCTCATCCTCCCTGAACAGCAAGGAGAATGGAGGCACCAACGGACACAGCTCTTCCCCTTTTTCCCTCTCAGGTAGGACACACGCACACCCTCCTCTTCCTCCTTCTCCCTCTCAGGTAGGACACACTCATGGCAGTCGACTCTGGCTCAGTTTATAGTGTAGTTAGTGCTCATTCAGTGTAAGATCTAAGAGGGATGAGGCAAAAGGAATGGCAAATAAGTCTGGCTGCACAGCCGATTGGCAAACAAACTGTAAATTGAGAAATCATGTGACTAAACTAAACAAAAAGAAGAAGAAACTGTACTATGAATCAAAGATAAATTATATAAAGGATGATAGTAAAAAGCTTTGGAGCACCTTAAATGAAATTTTGGGCAAAAAGGCAAACTCAGCTCCATCATTCATTGAATCAGATGGTTTATTCATCACAAAACCCTCTGATATTGCCAACTACTTACATTTTTTATTGGCAAGATTAGCAAACTTGGGCATGACAAACTCTGAACCTTCATATCCATGCATACCTGAAAAAATTATGAAAGACTAGTATTGTAATTTTGAAAAATGTATTGTTGTCTATCAATAATGACTGTCACGTTGTATAATGATTAGAAGACAGGCGCAGGAATAAGTATTAGTTTTTTTTATTTCTCCACCCAACACAATGTAAGTCATGAAAAACGACGGGGATGAATCCCAAAACAAACACGTACATATATAGAACACAGGGATGTAACACAATCACAAGAGTGAGGTGTAAACCTCTAAACAATCCCGTAATAACAAGAGCGCATTTCACGGTACTCACGAGACCAACGGACATGGGACAATAATCGACAAGGACAATGGGGAACAGAGGGCACATATATACACTTACTAATCAGGGGAAATTGCAACCAGGTGTGCATAATGAGACAAGACAGTCCGGGGTTGGTGGTAATGATCCAGGTCAGTGACGCCTAGAAGACGTAGACCTCCGGAGCTGGTGAACGGAATGAGCAACAGTTCTGAGGGGATCCGTGACAATGACAAACCACCTGGTACTGACAACTTGGATGGAAAATTACTGAGGATGGTAGCAGACTATATTGCCACTCCTATATGCCATCTCTTCAATCTAAGCCTACAGGAAAGTGTGTGCGCTCAGGCCTGGAGGGAAACAAAAGTCATACAGTTACCCATAAATAGCAAAGCACCCTTTACTGGTTCAAACAGCCAACCAATCAGCCTGCTACCGACCGTTAGTAAACTTTTGGAAAAAATTGTGTTTGACCAGATACAATGCTATTTCACAGTAAACAAATTAACAACTGACTTTCACCATCCTTATAGGGAGGCACACTCAACATGTACGGCACTAACACAAATTACTGATTGGCTGAAAGAAATTGATAATAATATGATTGTGGGAGCTGTTTTGTCATGCAGCTTTTGACATGAAAAAACATATATGTGTTATGGCTTTACATCCTCTGCCATATCGCGAATCGAGAGTTACCTATCTAACAGAACACAGAGGGCGTTCTTTAATGGTTTGGCATACCTCACGGTAGCTGTCTTGGCCCCTTACTTTTTTCTTTTTTATCAATGACCTACCACTAGCATTGAGTAAAGCCTGCGTGTTTAGGTGCGCTAATGACTCAACATTATATAGCACAGCAAGTGAAAACACTACTACACTTAACAAAGCGCTGCAGTCAGTTTTAGAATGGGTGGCAAGTAATAAACTAGTCCTAAATATACAAATAAATTAAAGCATTGTATTTGGGACAAATCGTTCACTAAACCCTTAACCCTAAACCTGATCTAAATATTGTAATGAATCATGTGGCAATTAAACAAGTTGAGGAGACTAAACTGCTTGGTGCAACCCTAGACTGTAAACTGACATGGTCAAAACATATTGATGCAACGGTAGCTAAGATGGGGAGAGGTCTGTCCGTGATAAAGCACTGCTCTGCTTTCTTGACGTCACAATCAACTAAACAAGTCCTACAGGCCTTAGTTTTATCACACCTGAACTACTGCACAGTTATATGGTCAACTGCCAGAAAAAAGAACATAAGCAAATTAAAGTTCTCCCAGAACGGAGCAACACAGTTGTCCCTTAAATGTACACAGAGGGCTAATATCAATAACATCTCTCCTGGCTCAAAGGAGAGGAGAGATTGACTGAATCACTACTTGTCTTTGTGAAAGGTATTGACGTGTTGAAAGCACTGAACTGTCTGTTCAAACATCTAACACACAGCTCAGACACCTATACACACCCCACAAGACATGCCACCAGGGGACTCTTCACAGTCCCCAAGTCCATAACAGACTCTGGGAAACACACAGTACTACATAGAGCCATGACTACATGGAACTGTCTTCCACATCAAGTAACTCAAGCGAAAATCAGATTAAACACACACACACACGCATACACACATACACTCACACAGTCTTGCACAGCTAACCTTGTGGGGACAGACAATTCAGTCCCATTCAAAATCCTATTTTCCCTAACCCCTAACCCTAATCCTAACCCGTACCCGTACCTGTACCCGTACCCTTACCCTAACCCTAACCCTAACCCTAACCCTAACCCTAACCCTAACCCTAACCTTAATCCTAACTCTAACCTTATCTCAAAAACCTAACCTTAACCCTAACCCTAAACCTAATCCTAGCTCCTAACCCTAAAACTAACCATATCTCTTAACCCTAACCCTAAACCTAATTCTAACCCTAACACTATTTCTAACCTTAACCCTAAACCCAATAGAAATAGCATTTGACCTTGTGGGGACCAACAAAATGTCGCCAGTTGGTCAAATTTATCTTGGTTTACTATTCTTGTGGGGACTTCTGTTCCCCACAAGTATAGTTAAACACGCCTAACACACGCACTCTACACACACACACACACACACACACACACACACACACACACACACACACACACACACAAACTGTAATGATGTGGTATTGTGGTATTATGGATTTTATATAATACATGTTTAATAATAGAGTAATCATGTCTTGTATGATACAGTGGGGGAAAAAAGTATTTAGTCAGCCACCAATTGTGCAAGTTCTCCCACTTAAAAAGATGAGAGAGGCCTGTAATTTTCATCATAGGTACACGTCAACTATGACAGACAAAATGAGGAAAAAAAATCCTGAAAATCACATTGTAGGATTTTTAATGAATTTATTTGCAAACTATGGTGGAAAATAAGTATGTGGTCAATAACAAAAGTTTATCAATACTTTGTTATATACCCTTTGTTGGCAATGACACAGGTCAAACGTTTTCTGTAAGTCTTCACAAGGTTTTCACACACTGTTGCTGGTATTTTGGCCCATTCCTCCATGCAGATCTCCTCTAGAGCAGTGATGTTTTGGGGCTGTCGCTGGGCAACACGGACTTTCAACTCCCTCCAAAGATTTTCTATGGGGTTGAGATCTGGAGACTGGCTAGGCCACTCCAGGACCATGAAATGCTTCTTACGAAGCCACTCCTTTGTTGCCCGGGCGGTGTGTTTGGGATCATTGTCATGCTGAAAGACCCAGCCACGTTTCATCTCCAATGCCCTTGCTGATGGAAGGAGGTTTTCACTCAAAATCTCACGATACATGGCCCCATTCATTCTTTCCTTTACACGGATCAGTCGTCCTGGTCCCTTTGCAGAAAAACAGCCCCAAAGCATGATGTTTCCACCCCCATGCTTCACAGTAGGTATGGTGTTCTTTGGATGCAACTCAGCATTCTTTGTCCTCCAAACACGACGAGTTGAGTTTTTACCAAAAAGTTTATTTTGGTTTCATCTGACCATATGACATTCTCCCAATCCTCTTCTGGATCATCCAAATGCACTCTAGCAAACTTCAGACAGGCATGGACATGTACTGGCTTAAGCAGGGGGACACGTCTGCACTGCAGGATTTGAGTCCCTGGCGGCGTAGTGTGTTACTGATGGTAGGCTTTGTTACTTTGGTCCCAGTTCTCTGCAGGTCATTCACTAGGTCCCCCTGTGCGGTTGTGGGATTTTTTTGTGGGATTTTTGCTCACCGTTCTTGTGATCATTTTGACCCCACGGGGTGAGATCTTGCGTGGAGCCCCAGATCGAGGGAGATTATCAGTGGTCTTGTATGTCTTCCATTTCCTAATAATTGCTCCCACAGTTGATTTCTTCAAACCAAGCTGCTTACCTATTGCAGATTCAGTCTTCCCAGCCTGGTGCAGGTCTACAATTTTCTGGTGTCCTTTGACAGCTCTTTGGTCTTGGCCATAGTGGAGTTTGGAGTGTGACTGTTTGAGGTTGTGGACAGGAGTCTTTTATACTGATAACAAGTTCAAACAGGTGCCATTAATACAGGTAACATTTACATTTACATTTACGTCATTTAGCAGACGCTCTTATCCAGAGCGATTTACAAATAGGTGCATTCACCTTATAGCCAGTGGGATAACCACTTTACAATGTTTTTTTTTTTTTTTTTTTTTAAATCTTTTAAATCTTTTTATATATTTTTTTTCTTTCTTTTTTTTTTTGGTGGGGGGGTAAAGGGGGGGGGGGGGGTAGAAGGATTACTTTATCCTATCCCAGGTATTCCTTAAAGAGGTGGGGTTTCAAATGTCTCCGGAAGGTGGTGAGTGACACCGCTGTCCTGGCGTCGTGAGGGAGCTTGTTCCACTATTGGGGTGCCAGAGCAGCGAACAGTTTTGACTGGGCTGAGCGGGAACTATGCTTCCGCAGAGGTAGGGGAGCCAGCAGGCCAGAGGTGGATGAACGCAGTGCCCTCGTTTGGGTGTAGGGACTGATCAGAGCCTGAAGGTACGGAGGTGCCGTTCCCCTCACTGCTCCGTAGGCAAGCACCATGGACTTGTAGCGGATGCGAGCTTCAACTGGAAGCCAGTGGAGTGTGCGGAGGAGCGGGGTTATGTGAGAAAACTTGGGAAGGTTGAACACCAGACGGGCTGCGGCATTCTGGATGAGTTGTAGGGGTTTAATGGCACAGGCAGGGAGCCCAGCCAACAGCGAGTTGCAGTAATCCAGACGGGAGATGACAAGTGCCTGGATTAGGACCTGTGCCGCTTCCTGTGTAACGCAGGGTCGTACTCTCCGAATGTTGTAGAGCATGAACCTACAGGATCGGGTCACCGCCTTGATGTTAGCGGAGAACAACAAGGTGTTGTCCAGGGTCACGCCAAGGCTCTTCACACTCTGGGAGGAGGACACAACGGAGTTGTCAACCGTGATGGCGAGATCATGGAACGGGCAGTCCTTCCCAGGGAGGAAGAGCAGCTCCGTCTTGCCGAGGTTCAGCTTGAGGTGGTGATCCGTCATCCATACTGATATGTCTGCCAGACATGCAGAGATGCGATTCGCCACCTGGTCATCAGAAGGGGGAAAGGAGAAGATTAGTTGTGTGTCGTCAGCGTAGCAATGATAGGAGAGGCCATGTGAGGATATGACAGAGCCAAGTGACTTGGTGTATAGCGAGAATAGGAGAGGGCCTAGAACTGAGCCCTGGGGGACACCAGTGGTGAGAGCACGTGGTGTGGAGACAGCTTCTCGCCACGCCACATGGTAGGAGCGACCGGTCAGGTAGGACGCAATCCAAGAGTGAGCCGCGCCGGAGATGCCCAGCTCGGAGAGGGTGGAGAGGAGGATCTGATGGTTCACAGTATCAAAGGCAGCAGACAGGTCTAGAAGGACAAGAGCAGAGGAGAGAGAGTTAGCTTTAGCAGTGCGGAGAGCCTCTGTGACACAGAGAAGAGCAGTCTCAGTTGAATGACCAGTCTTGAAACCTGACTGGTTTGGATCAAGAAGGTCATTCTGAGAGAGATAGCAAGAGAGTTGGCTAAAGACGGCACGCTCAATAGTTTTGGAAAGAAAAGAAAGAAGGGATACTGGTCTGTAGTTGTTGACATCAGAGGGATCGAGTGTTGGTTTTTTGAGAAGGGGTGCAACTCTCGCTCTCTTGAAGACGGAAGGGACATAGCCAGCGGTCAAGGATGAGTTGATCAACAAGGTGAGGTAAGGGAGAAGGTCACCAGAGATGGCCTGGAGAAGAGAGGAGGGGATAGGGTCAAGCGGGCAGGTTGTTGGGCGGCCTGCCGTCACAAGTCGCAAGATTTTATCTGGAGAGAGAGGGGAGAAAGAAGTCAAAGCATAGGGTAGGGCAGTGTGAGCAGGACCAGCAGTGTCATTTGACTTAACAAACGAGGATCGGATGTCGTCAACCTTCTTTTCAAAATGGTTGACGAAGTCATCCACAGAGAGGGAGGGGGGGGGGATTCAGCAGGGAGGAGAATGTGGCAAAGAGCTTCCTAGGGTTAGAGGCGGATGCTTGGAATTTAGAGTGGTAGAAAGTGGCCTTAGCAGCAGAAACAGATGAAGAAAATGTAGAGAGGAGGGAGTGAAAAGATGCCAGGTCAGCAGGGAGTCTAGTTTTCTTCCATTTCCGCTCAGCTGCCCGGAGCTCTGTTCTGTGAGCTCGCAATGAGTCATCAAGCCATGGAGCTGGAGGGGAGGACCGAGCCGGCCGGGAGGATAGGGGACATAGAGAGTCAAAGGATGCAGAAAGGGAGGAGAGGAGGGTTGAGGAGGCAGAATCAGGAGATTGGAGGGAGAAGGACTGAGCAGAGGGAAGAGATGATAGGTTGGAAGAGGAGAGAGCAGCGGGAGAGAGAGAGCGAAGGTTGCGACGGCGCATTACCATCTGTGTAGGGGCAGAGTGAGTAGTGTTGGAGGAGAGAGAGAGAGAAAAGGATACAAAGTAGTGGTCGGAGACTTGGAGGGGAGTTGCAGTGAGATTAGTAGAAGAACAGCATCTAGTAAAGATGAGGTCAAGCGTATTGCCTGCCTTGTGAGTAGGGGGGGACGGTGAGAGGGTGAGGTCAAAAGAGGAGAGGAGTGGAAAGAAGGAGGCAGAGAGAAATGAGTCAAATGTAGACGTAGGGAGGTTGAAATCCCCCAGAACTGTGAGGGGTGAGCCATCCTCAGGAAAGGAACTTATCAAGGCGTCAAGCTCATTGATGAACTCTCCAAGGGAACCTGGAGGGCGATAGATGACAAGGAGATTAAGCTTAAATGGGCTAGTGACTGTGACAGCATGGAATTCAAATGAGGAGATAGACAGATGGGTCAGGGGAAAAATTGAGAATGTCCACTTGGGAGAGATTAGGATTCCTGTGCCACCACCCCGCTGACCAGATGCTCTCGGGGTATGCGAGAACACATGGTCAGACGAGGAGAGAGCAGCAGGAGTAGCAGTGTTTTCAGTGGTAATCCATGTTTCCGTCAGCGCCAAGAAGTCGAGGGACTGGAGGGTAGCATAGGCTGGGATGAAGTCTGCCTTGTTGGCAGCAGAACGGCAGTTCCAGAGGCTGCCTGAGACCTGGAACTCCACGTGGGTCGTGCGTGCAGGGACCACCAAGTTAGAGAGGCAGCAGCCACGCGGTGTGAGGCGTTTGTGTAGCCTGTGCGGAGAGGAGAGAACAGGGATAGGCAGAGGCATAGTTGACAGGCTGCAGCAGATGGCTACAATAATGCAGAGGAGATCGGAATAAAATGAACTAAACATCTGGGAAAGGAGAGAGCGGGGCCTCCCTCACCACAACTCCCAAATATAACTCTCCCAACTTCCACCTCAGAAACTATAATTGTTGTAAACTACAGCGGTTCAATGTTTTCTAGGAATAGACTAACCTAGTTTATTCAGCTAGCTAACTAGGTGCAGTATTATTCCGTGAAAAACGTCCGGGCACCTCGTCATAAGACGCCACAGCCAGCTAGCATGCCGGTCTCCAACAGCAGGGTTTAGCGCCAATACTCAGCCACAACAACCACCAGTGTATCAACACGGAAGCAGATCGTTCGTGTCCAACGTTGTGGGTAAGTCCCGACAGCTTGAGCGAGTCCGTCGTCAACTTATTCAGCCAGTTAGTTAGCTAGAATAGTTAGCAAACTAGCTAGCCATTGCTTTCAGACAAAGAAGAACCCCCTCCTCTCACGGCACGAACACACAGAGAGAGCCAAACTAACGTTAACTAGTCACCCATGTCCCGAATTCCTTGAGCGACTCGGGCTATCAATATGTAAAAAACAAAACACAAGTGTAGGTTATGACTTACCCCTAGCAGCTACTGTTAGCTAGCCAAGTGCAAAGCTAGCCACTGTGGTAACTTTGCGAGTGGTAACGAGTGGAGGACAGAGGAGCCTCTTAAAGAAGAAGTTACAGGTCTGTGAGAGCCAGAAATCTTGCTTGTTTGTAGGTGACCAAATACTTATTTTCCACCATAATTTGCAAATACATTCATTAAAAATCCTACAATGTGATTTTCTGGATTTTTTTTTCTCAATTTGTCTGTCATAGTTGACGTGTACCTATGATGAAAATTACAGGCCTCTCTCATCTTTTTAAGTGGGAGAACTTGCACAATTGGTGGCTGACTAAATACTTTTTTCCCCCACTGTTTATTGTTTTATTTATGATGTAGGCCAGGGTTGCCCAACCAACCCTGTTGCTGGAGAGCTACCCTCCTGTAGGTTTTCGCTCCAACCCCAGGTGTTACTAACCTGATTCATCTTATCAACCTGCTAATTATTAGAATCAGGTGTGCTAGATTAGGGTTGGAGCAAAAACCTACAGGACGGTAGCTCTCCAGGAACAGGGTTGGGCAGTCCTGATGTAGGCTGTCATTGTGTTTTGCTGTGATGTAGAGTAGCTGCTACTTTGGCAGCAGCTAATGGGGATCCTAATAAATACTAAATACTAAACTACTAAACCTGATGTGTTAGCTGTGCTGATACACGCTATTGGCATAACTTCAGTGTCCTATCTCCTGACATCAACCTTGAGCTACATCCTGCTCCCAGTGAGGTCATCACGTTCTGTCAGGGAAGGGTAGAGCTTTGACACAACACCCCCTCTCCTCTCCCTCACCTCCTCTCCCATCCCTCCCTCCTCTGACCAAGATGACATCTGGCTTGAGTGGAGAGTGTCTGTGTTTGTTTACGAAGCATTGTTTGGTTAAAGGGGACTGTTATGGTCAACTTGTTCTGATGGAAAAATTGGATTGAGTCATTATTGTTGATTTGTTCGTTTTGTTTGGAGAGATTTTGGCTAAGGCAATTTTACAGGATCCAACACCCACCCTGTGTTCTTATTACCCTCCAGACTCCCCACCTACTAGGACTCCCTCTGCCGCCTCTGTGTTCTTCTCAGCCCAGGACCTGGCCCGAGACTGCAGCTTCCTCAAGCCTCTGGCCTCTACCTCTGGGGGCAAGACTCTACCAATAGGTACAGCTCTTCTTCTACAGTTCTTCTACCACCACTGTTTCTGGATGACAATGTATTAATCTACTGTATGTGTAATCAAATCTCCATCATATAGTCATCGTTCCCTCACAACGTCAGCTTTAAAGTGTTTTACACCATGGTACATTATACATCAATAATATTCAGTAACATTATGCAGACTGCCACATGTGTAATAAGCTTTAGCCCAGGTATTTCTAAGGAAATAGGCCCAGCAATCACTTCTGCTATGTGCCCTGGTCTGAGTAGGAGAAGGACCAGTTGCCTAGAAACAGGTTTGCTTACATGGCCAAGCATAGGCCAGATGGAGCTGTGGAGTGTAGATTAGCCTCTTCTACTGACTGGAGACACACACGTGTGTGCACACACACACACACGCATCAATACTGAGCAGAAAATCCCTGTAATGACTTTAAGACCTGGCTATCCATTCGCTAGTTTACAAGGTTGCAAGATTGACAGGCCTAGCCTACACATACCAATCAATGTGTTAGCGTAAATGCACACACAGTGAATCTGAGATTGGAAAGTGCCCCATCAGTTCATTGGCAATAGGAAATCAATAGCTCAGTGTTAGGCGGGCCTAAATCATTCTTATATATTGTTCAGTCTCTATATTAGGAAGATATATTTCAGGACAATTGGTTTTATTTTGTAATTATCAAATATATATATAATAATACATGCGTTTATTGTATTTGTTTACTATGAAGATAAACATGCACCTCACGTATGGCATCTCTCAAAAGACTGCCAAAACATTACCTTACGAAAGTAAATGATTGTGTCGAATCATCTGAAAATGAATTGTGGTGAAATGAATCAATAATGTATGGTGTATCTGTCTGTGTGTCTGTGCAGTACCCACGGCTTTAAGAGTGAACGGGCCGCCCAACGGACTGGGTGCAGACAGCCACCCCCCTTTATTGAGCCCCTCCCAGGTGTCTCTGGGACCCCAGGGACAGGGGTACAGAACCTCCGACCTAGGAGACAACCCTGGTGAGCGCCACGTTCTCCTCCCTAACCTCTGTGACTTTAAACATACACAGGAAATGTATGCTTGTTGTTTTCCTATTATGGGTGATTTACAATACATCTTTACTATTCTGATCTCAATTTAGCGTTTCTCTGTACCTGCTTTTCATTACAGATCTTGATTTCTAAAATATGAAGTAGAACATAGTATAATTATTGCAATAAGGATATGACCCAGATGCAGACACAGGAGGCGGACAGTTTGAATCTCAGATATTTCTTTTAAAACGGGGCTCAAGGGCAGGCAGAGATCAGTAATCCAAGGCAGAGTCAATCAGGGACAGAACGCCAGGCAGGCTCAGGGTCAGGGCAGGCAGAATGGTCAGAACCGGGAAGACTAAAAAACAAATATTGAGAAACAGGAAAAATGGGAAACACGCTGGAAACAGAAGACAAAGGGCTATGAGACAGAGGTTTAATCCTAGACACATGAAAAGTGGGATGTACAGTGGCTTGCGAAAGTATTCACCCCCCTTGGCATTTTTCCTATTTTGTTGCCTTACAACCTGGAATTAAAATTGATTTTTGGGGGGGTTGTATCATTTGATTTACACAACATGCCTACCACTTTGAAGATGCAAAATATTTTTTATTGTGAAACAAACAAGAAATAAGAAAAACTTGAGCATGCATAACTATTCACCCCCCCCCCCTGTCTCTATAAGCTTGGCACATCTAGCCACTGGGATTTTTGCCCATTCTTCAAGGCAAAACTGCTCCAGCTCTTTCAAGTTGGATGGGTTCCGCTGGTGTACACCAATCTTTAAGTCATACCACAGATTCTCAATTGGATTGAGGTCTGGGCTTTGACTAGGCCATTCCAAGACATTTAAATGTTTCCCCTTAAACCACTCAAGTGTTGCTTTAGCAGTATGCTTAGGGTCATTGTCCTGCTGGAAGGTAAACCTCCGTCTCAGTCTCAAATCTCTGGAAGACTGAAACAGGTTTCCCTCAAGAATTTCCCTGTATTTAGCGCCATCCATCATTCCTTCAATTCTGACCAGTTTCCCAGTCCCTGCCTATGAAAAACATCCCCACAGCATGATGCTGCCACCACCATGCTTCACTGTGGGGATGGTGTTTTCGGTGTGATGAGAGGTGTTGGGTTTGCGACAGCATAGCATTTTCCTTGATGGCCAAAAACCTCAATTTTAGTCTCATCTGACCAGAGTACCTTCTTCCATATGTTTGGGGAGTCTCCCACATGCCTTTTGGCAAACATCAAACGTGTTTGCTTATTTTTTTCTTTAAGCAATGGCTTTTTTCTGGCCACTCTTCCGTAAAGCCCAGCTCTGTGGTGTGTACGGCTTAATGTGGTCCTATGGACAGATACTCCAATCTCCGCTGTTGAGCTTTGCAGCTCCTTCAGGGTTATCTTTGGTCTCTTTGTTGTCTCTCTGATTAATGCCCTCCTTGCCTTATTCGTGAGTTTAGGTGGGCGGCCCACTCTTGGCAGGTTTGTTGTGGTGCCATATTCCTTCCATGTTTTAATAATGGATTTAATGGTGCTCCGTGGGATGTTCAAAGTTTGAGATGTTTTTTTATAACCCAATCCTGATCTGTACTTCTCCACAACTTTGTCTCTGACCTGTTTGGAGAGCTCCTTGGTCTTCATGGTGTCGCTTGCTTGGTGGTGCCCCTTGCTTAGTGGTGTTGCAGACTCTGGCGCCTTTCAGAACAGGTGTATATATACTGAGATCATGTGACAGATCATGTGACACTTAGACTGCACACAGTTGGACTTTATTTAACTAATTATGTGACATCTGAAGGTAATTGATTGCACCAGATCTTATTTAGGGGCTTCATAGCAAATGGGGTGAATACATATGCACGCACCACTTTTCCATTATTTATTTGTTCAAATTTTTTGAAACAAGTTAGATTTTACATTTCACTTCACCAATTTGGACTATTTTGTGTATGTCCATTACATGAAATCCAAATAAAAATCAATTTAAATTACAGGTTGTAATGCAACAAAATAGGAAAAACGCTAAGGGGGGTGAATACTTTTGCAAGGCACTGTATACGGATGGTGCGGGGCAACAGAAGATGAACAGCAGAGGGGCTAAGGATTTTAGAGATGGGGAAAGGGCTGATAAAACGGGGGGCAAGTTTGTGGGACTTCACCCAGAGGGGCAGATCCCGAGTGGACAGCCATACCCTCCGACCTAGACAATAACGGGGAGCCGGGGTCCTGTGGTGGTCCGCCTGTTGCCGATATCTGGAGGTGGTCTTGGGAAGAGGACCCAATGAGGGTGCAGAATGCCTTCCAGAACCGGGAAGAAAACTGAGGACCGCAATCGGAGACCATGTCGACCGGAAGTCCATGGAATCCAGAAGACTTGCTGCACCATGAGCTGGGCCGTCTCCTTGGCTGAGTGCAACTCAGGAAGGGGAATAAAATGGGCAGCTTTGGAAAATCTTTCCACCACCGTTAGGATGGCGGTGTTGCCATCTGACAGAGGGAGACCAGTGATGAAGTCCAGGGATATGTATAGATCAGGGGCGGTGAGGAACAGGGAGTAGTTGAAGGAGGCCAGCTGGAGCTTGCTGCGGAGTCTTATTCTGCGCACACACAGTGCAGGCGGCGACAAACTTGGAGACGTCAGGAACCATGGTGGGCCACCAAAAACATTGCCGGACGAAAGCCAAGGTCCAACGGGAGCCAGAATGGCAGGTGAGTCTCGAGGAATGTGCCCATTCCAGGACCAGAGAACGGGCAGAGTCCAGGACAAACATCCGGTTAGCCAGGGATGCAGCTTTTGGTCCTGGGAAGAACGCTGGGACAGGATGGCCCCCACTCCGACGTCTGAGGCGTCGACCTCTACCACGAACTGACAGGACAGGTATGGATGGATTAAGATGGGAGTTGTAGTGAATCGATGCTTGAGGTCCGAGAACGCCCGGTCAGCTGCTGGAGATCACATGAAAGGAACCTTGGGAGAGGTGTGCTGAGAGGGGGGAAGCCAGGGTGCTGTAACGCCGGATGAAGCGGCGGTAGAAATTAGCAAACTCCAGAAAACTTTGCAGCTGCACTCTGGATGTGGGTTGAGGCCAATCCACCACTGCTTTCACCTTGCCAGAATCCATCTGAATATTTCCTGCAGCAATGACGTATCCTAGGAAGGAGATGGTGGAGCAATGGAATTCACATTTCTCTGCTTTAACAAAAGGCTAGTTCTCCAGGAGACACTGGAGAACCTGTCGGACGTGCTCTTGAGCTGACCGGGAAAAAAACGAGGACATCGTCGAGGTAGACAAACATGAACCGGTTCAACATGTCAAGGAGCACATCGTTGACCAGGGCCTGGAACACTGTGGAAGCGTTGGTTAGTCTGAATGACATCACAAGGTACTCTTAGAGCCCGCTAGCCATGTTAAAGGCTGTCTTCCATTCGTCTCCTTCCCATATCCGAACCAGATGGTAGGCGTTCCGAAGGTCCAACTTTGAGAAGATGGTAGTCGCCTGGTTAGGCTCAAAAGCAGAGGAGATGAGTGGTATCGGGTAACGGTTTTTAACCGTGATATCATTAAGGCCCCGGTAGTCGATACACGGACACAGGGTTTTGTCCTTTTTCTCCACAAAGAACTCTGTGCCGGCGGGGGAGGCAGATGGACGAATACTCCCTGCTGTAAGAGAGTCCCCAATGTACCTTTCCATAGACTTTGTCTCCGGACCCAACAGGGAATAAATCCACCCCAGAGGCGGTGTTGTGCCAGGGAGAAGGTTGATAGCGCAGTCGTAGGGAGGAAGAGGAGGAAGAGATGTGGCGCGAGCCTTGTTGAAAACCTCCTGGAGGTCCTGGTACTCCGCGGGAATGGCGGAGAGATCCAAGGCTTTTCCCAAGCCTGCAGAAAGACGGTCCAGGGCAGGCTGCGCTGACTTCAGACAATGCGTGTGGCAGAACGGGCTCCAACCCATGATAGATCCAGTATCCCAGTCGATCAGGGGATTGTGCCTCTGGAGCCATGAAAACCCCAAAACCCCGGGTACGTAAGGTGATTTGATGAGCAGGAACTGCGTAGACTCACTGTGATTACCTGACACTCGCAGGTTGATAGGAACCGTATTGTGGGTAACTCTGCCAATAGAACGCCCTTCCAGTGCAGTGACGTTGATGGGAATGAGAGGGGTGGGGATACCCAGCTCCAACACTAGGGTAGTGTCCATAAAACTCTCGTCAGCCCCAGAGTCAATGAGCACCCGGAGAGATTTGGACCAGTCACCCCACAGCAGGATGGCATGAAGAGGGGTACGAGTAAGGGGAGATTAGAAACTCCCCGTACGGCTCACCAGCGTACTCGTACCTACTGATGAGCCTGGTCTTTTAATGGACAGGTAGATATGTAATGTCCTGTAGTACCACAATACAGACAGCTCTTGACGCTCAGTCTGCGCAGGTGTTCAACAGGAGACAATCTAGCCCTGCCCAGTTGCATGGGCTCTGGAGGAAACGAGTCGACTGCCTTCGGTGATTCCAGAGGGAACTCCGGTGACATCGGATTCTTCCGGCAATGTAGACTTCGGGAATTTCCGGGATTCCTCGGAGGCGAGGTGGGAATCGTGGATGAGCAAGTGTGACCGGGAACAGACCTCCTCTGTCCATCGATCTGTATGGTCAAGGCTATGAGCGATTAGAGGTCCATGGGCAGTTCCTGGGCTGCGAGCTCGTCTTTAACCACTTCTGATAATCCATGAAAGAACATGTCGAACAGGGATTCCGGGTTCCAGGCACTCGTGGCAGCAAAAGTGCGTAAATCCCCCACGAAGTCTGCCACAATACGGAAGTAGCTTCCGAGCAGCCTCTCTCCCGGACAACGGAGAATCGAACACCTTTCTTACCTCCGCCACGAACTCATCCAGACTGAGGCAAACGGTGGATTGTTGGTCCCACACCATCATAGCTCAGGCGAGTGCTCTCCCGGACATGAGCGTTATCAGGTATGCTATCTTCGAGCGATCCGAGGGAAATGAAGAAGGCTGGAGCTCGATGATGAGGGAGCACTGGGAGAGAAACGCCCGGCAGGTTCCTGGATCTCCAGCATAGCGCTCCGGAGGTGGTAAGTGGGGTTAACAGGAAGCCGGGGTAGGCTGGGGAGAAACGCCGCTGGTAGCGGGGTTACTGAGAGTCTGGGAGGTTACAGTAGTGGCTTGCTGCCTAATAGATAATCTGTGGAATAGCTCCAGTAATGCATTGAAAGCATGGTCATGGTGTTCCGCCGATGTCTGGAGTCTTTCCATAAGGCTTTGAAGGAACTCCTCGTGTCTTCCAATGGTGGCTCCTTGGAAGGAGACAGCGTTGCGGAGCTGGTCCGAGTCTGCTGGGTCAGTCATGGCCAGTTCGTACTATCAGATATTTATTATAAAACGGGGAATGGCAAACGGCAGGTCAAGGACAGGCAGAGGTCAATAATCCAAGGCAGAGTCAATCAGAGACAGAACGGCAGGCAGAATGGTCAGAACCGGGAAGACTAAAAAACTAAACTTGGGAAACATGCTGGAATGACCTGACAAGACGAACTGGCACAGACAAACAGAAAACGCAGGTATAAATACACAGGAGATAATGGGGACAAATGGGAGACACCTGGTGGGGGGTGGAGACAAGCACAAGACACGTGAAACAGATCAGGGTGCAGTGGCGGCTCCTGAAAAAATTCTCAGGGGGGGCAATTTTTCTGATGATTTAGGTGACCTACACACATTTTAAAAAAGATATGTCCAGCAACAACATGAAGACAGGGGCAGCATATAAGTCAATACCAGAAGCATTTATTGACTGATCTCAAAAGTGTTGGCTTACCAGGGTTGGTGGAGCCCTCAGTTTCATCTTTGCCTCGCAAAGCTAACTCAAACACTCCGCAAAACTTCACACACTGGATTAGCCGGCTGAGGATGTGGCGGTTCTTGCTAATGTCGTAGTAAATATATTTGTTATAGTGAATATGGAATATGATATGTTGAGTAAAATGTTGTGCTAAGATCTATTTAGGTCAGGAGCTGGTTATAAGTTCTGTTCCTATCCAATAACAATGGACAAAAGGGTCCTATCTTGTCAGCCTTGTCAGCAGGTGGCCAAGGACAACACCCACGCCATAGGCCTCTCAGTTCTTCCAACTCACGAGTTCTTGCTCTGAGGACACACACACACACACACACAAACACACACACACACACATCATCACTGTTAAACACACACACACACACACACACACACACACACACACATCATCATCACTGTTAAACACACACACACACACACACACACAAAAATCCCCTCTCTTAGGCTGAACATTTGAAGACAGAGAACCCGACTCAGAGCCAATGCAACAGTGACAGTAGCCTGGAGGGGACCTCGCCCAACTCATCAGGACCAATCAGAAGATCAGAACTACTAGATTCAACCTACTTCATTTATTGCATAAAATGTCTGCACACAATGTTTCGGGGCTTTCTTCAGATAATAATAATAATAATAATAATATGCCATTTAGCAGACGCTTTTATCCAAAGCGACTTACAGTCATGCGTGCATACATTTTTGTGTATGGGTGGTCCCGGGGATCGAACCCACTACCTTGGCGTTACAAGCGCCGTGCTCTACCAGCTGAGCTACAGAAAGTGGATACTCATGGATGCGCATCGCAATTGTAAAATGTCAACACAATTGGAGACACCACGTCATTTTTGGAGACATGTTATTGACAGTAAACTATTGTAGATGCGACTGCTAACTAAATAAAACATTTTAGCTGGCTAGCTAATCATCTTAGCTAAATGTGGGGCAAACAATTCAGTTATTTACCGTTAATTTGAGGGATTGGGGTGAAAGAAATCGAGTTACATAGTGATACTTTACGATATACTGTATTGACAATATCGCAATATTTTAGCGCTAGTTGGCTGTACCTGCACCAAAACACCATTATTGTTCCTTCATAGCTTGTTCTCAATCTTTTCACATTGGGAGCCAATTTGTTTTCAGCACTTTTATTTCCATGACTGATCAAAACTCGTTCTCATGGCTTTCTGATCCCTCTGCAACAGACATATGGTGCGCAATAAAATCACAGTATCGAATCGCAATACGTATAGAATCATGAGACTCGCAATGCATATATCTTATCGTGAGGTTCCTGGCAATTCCCAGCCCAAGTTCATTTGCCACAACAAATCTCTTCGCTAGCAAACGCGATGTCTTCTCCAAAACGGCAATGTGTCTCCAGCAATGTTTACTTTTTGACGTTCTATGGCATCTCCACTTTCCAAGCATATATGACCACATGTAATATTTTGGTAAGTGATGCAAATAGTGAACTATGTAGGGCCAGGATGTAAAATATATGTAGCTGCAGCAATTTCTCTTATCTGATATGGTAAGTAATGGGGCTTAATGTATAGCTCCCTAAGAGTTTGACGAACGGGTCCGTGCACGCGATTCCAGATATCTTTACCTCTGAATAAACTGCCTTTATTATACCATATCCACCCTGTCCAAAGTCTCTACTTGGTCTCAGTTCTCCAGTAAACTTGTGATTATCAACACTAACCTCATCGTTGTGGCGGCGGACAGCTAGCCTGTATCCCTCATCCAGTTGAGTGGCAATGTTATTTTTTCGTTCGTACCAATTTTTGGAAAATCCTCGGGTGTAGGACTTTCCGCCTTTAGTAGAAACCTGTTGAATTATTAAATTTGGTCTGGGAGGTCCTAATTGTTTCGTTGCCAATTTATCTTCATTTGTTCGCCGACAAAAAGGAACTTCTTTCAAAGACACAATCCGCTCTTTTCTTAGTTACGTTCATGGTTACGTTACGTATGACGAAAGCGCGTAAGTGCAAGAGATTGTATTGAAAGCTCTGAAATTTGAAAAAAATAGATTTTACATGGGAGTCTATGACAGACTTCTGGGCGATTTTCAACCTGACTGAAATCGCCCCAAAAGGGGGGGGAGCCATTTGAAGCACGACTTTAGCCTGATTGGACATTACAACACTGATAACTACTGTTGCCGTGATATAATTGATTAGAAAAAAAATCCCTTCCTTTTCCCGTTTGGCAGTGCGTCGCCCATATCGCCCTATTGAACACACCGCCCCTGTCAGGGTGTGACAATAATTGCTCATAGGTTGCCATTGTAGAAACCCTGTGAATTATTTTGAAAACCCAGACTCAGACAATTCAGACCGTTTTGAGAACCTAGACCCATATTCTGCAGTTACAACATTAATGAAATCTCATGTTTCTCTTGTATTGTTTTCTGTCCAGTTTCCTCTGCAATGATCTCAGGCCCGCCCAAGAAGCGCCACCGCGGTTGGCACCCTAACCCCCTGGTGCCAGTCCCCCCTACAGCCGTCCCTGTGCCCGCCATCCGACCCATCGTCTGCTCCCCAGGTCTGGCACAGAGCTTTTGATATTTTTTTATTGTTTATTTACATAAGGACAGATTAATTTACAACATTGATACACTGAAAAGGCAACAGTTCGATTCATTGCACCATCACACCATAGCTTATGCTAACGTCCAGAGCGTTGATGGCTCTAAAGCACTCTATGTCCTGAATAGATACAGCCCTAAGATAATAGCCTTAGTAGACTTTGTGTCAAGCTTCAAAATGTTATGCACCACCTACTCTCTTAGAAAAAAAGGTAATATCTAGAACCTAAAAGGGTTATTTGGCTGTCCCCATAGGAGAACCCTTTGAAGAACCATTTTTGTTCCAGGTAAAACCCCTTTAGTTCCAGATAAACCCTTTAAGGTTCAATGTAGAACCATTTCCACAAAGGTTTCTACATGGAACCCAAAAGGGTTCTACCTGGAACAGAAAAGGGTTCTCCTATGGGGACAGTCGAATAACCTTTTTGGAACAATTTTTTTAAAGAGTGTACTGTAGCCCCAGTCATTGTGAAAGTATGTGTATGTATGTGTGTGTGTGTGTGTGTGTGTGTGTGTGTGTGTTTGAGTGTGCGTGTTAGATCTGATGTTGATTAGTACATTAACCTTGGTTTTAGGGAGAAGGAAGGACAAAAGGTCCATGCCATTCTCTGTTGTCAGGGGTGATTCATTCAGCATCTCCAGGGAGATAAGGTCAGACCGGTTAGTGCAGATCTGAGCAGAAGCTGAAGGAGTGGGTACAGATTATATTTTAGAATTAGAAAGGTCCTGATTTCCAGGATCTGCTTGATGTGCAGCTGTATTGTATCACAGTATTGACATGGTGTGTCTGTATTTCTGAACAGGCTCTGTGCTGGCCATGCCCACTCCTCAGCTGCCTGTAGCAGGGGTCCTTCAGCCCCAACCCCTCACTGCTGGAGAGACTGTCATCGTCCCTGACAACCTGCTCAACACCTCAGGAGTCCGGCCTGTTATCCTCATCGGTAAATACTCATCATAAAGCTGTAATCTCAATGTAAAAAGACACGTGTACTGTACCAGTATATGATTTAGAGAAAAGAAATAAAGACACACTCTATTTTACTCCCAATGATTTAATGAACCAACATTTCAGGACACAGTGCCTTCCTCAGGGTATATGATTGACTGACTGCTTCTGGGGTTTGGTTTGCAGGGCACGGCACATTACCATACTTCTATGGGAACGTGGGGGACATTGTGGTGAGCCCCCTGCTGGTGAGCTGCTATAAGGGCAACCAGTTGACTGAGAAGACACTGGCCAGCCTGGGACTGACTGGCAGCCAACTACTCAGTGTGGAGACCATGATCCTCCTCACCCTGCAGTACCTTGCACGGCTAGGTAAAGGCCTCAAAAGACTCATGCGCGTGCACACACATGCATGCATACACACGTATATATGCACATATGTGCAGGCACACAGACACTCACACACTCTCACACACACACTTACACGCACACACCCTGTTAGATATGAAAGGCTTATTTAAAATGTTTAATCAGACATTGAGGATAATGGTTGAGAGGCTGAGCTAAGCCAAGGCCTGGTTGTTTTAAAGTTTGGTAACACTGATGAGGTAGTTGGTAGTCCTCCCCCATTGTAATTCAAAGTGCTCCTTTACTGCTGCTGCTCCACTTACTGTCGCTGATGCACTTTAGTGGCTCCAAATAGCTAGCATGACCTTGAGTTGATAAGAACTGTAATGTACTATGCTTCTCGGAGTCATGAATGAAGAAGGACATGGATAATATAAATCCAGCTGGTTTTTCTGTGCGTTGGCCGGACAGAACGGCAGGGGTCGTGGTGTGTGTCTCTTTTTTAACAACAGCTGGTGCGCAATCTCTAATATTAAGGAAGTCTCGAGGTTCTGCTCGCCTGAGTTAGAATACCTCATGATAAGCTGTAGACCATACTATTTACTATCTGTATTTTTCGTAGCTGTCTATTTACCACCACAAACTGATGCTGGCACTAAGACCACACTCAATGAGCTGTATAGGGCCACAAGAAAACAAGAAAATGGTCATCCAGAGGCGGCACTATTAGTGCCTGGTGATTTTAATGCAGGAAAACTGATATCCCTTTTATCTAATTTCTACCAGCATGTCACCTGTGCAACTAGAGGGATAAAAAAATGGGACAATAACTATCCTCCTGATTCCTGCTTTCAAGCAAAAACCCAAACAGGAAGCACCAGTGACACGCTCAATACGGAAAGTGGTCTGATGAAGCGGATCCTAAGCTAAAGGATTGTTTCACTAGCACAGACTGGAATATGTTCCGGAATTCATCCGATGGCATTGAGGAGTTTACCACATCAGTCACCGGCTTCATTAATAAGTGCATCTACGACATTGTCCCCAAAATGACCATATGTACATATCCCAACCAAAAGCCATGGATTACAGGCAACATCCACACTGAGCTAAAGGCTAGAGCTGCTGCTTTCAAGGAGCAGGACACTAATCCGGACGCTTATAAGAAATCCTGCTACACCCTCCGACGAAACATCAAACAGGCAAAGCGTCATTACAGGATTAAGATCGAATCCTACTACACCGGCTCTAACGCTTGACGGATGTGGCAGGGCTTGTAAACTATCACGGATTACAAAGGGAAATCCAGCCGAGAGCTACCCAGTGACGCAAGCCTACCAGGCGAGCTAAATACCTTCTATGCTCGCTTCGAGGCAAGCAACACTGAACCATGCATGAGAGCACCAGCTGTTCCGGACGACTGTATGATCACGCTCTCCGTAGCCAATGTGAGTAAGACCTTTAAAGAGGTTAACATTCACAAGGCCGCAGGGCCAGATGGATTACCAGGAAGCATACTCAGAGCATGCGCTGAACAGCTGGCAAGAGTCTTCACTGACATTTTCAACCTCTCTCTGACCCAGTCTGTAATACCTACATATTTCAAGCAAACCACCATAGTCCTTGTGTCTAACAACACCAAGGTAACCTGTCTAAATAACTACAGCCCCGTCGCGCTCACATCTGTAGCCATGAAATGCTTTGAAAGGCTGGTCATGGCTCACATCAACACCATCATGCCAGAATCCCTGGACCACTCTAATTCCCATACCACCCAACAGATCTACAGATGACACAATCTCTATTGCACTCCACACTGCCCTTTCTCACCTGGACAAAAGGAACACCTACTTGAGAATGCTGTTCATTAACTACAGCTCAGCATTCAACACCATAGTGCCCTCCAAGCTCATCACTAAGCTAAGGACCCTGGAACTGAACACCTCCCTCTGCAACTGGGTCCTGGACTTCCTGACGGGCCGCCCCCAGGTGGTGAAGGGTAGGCAACAAGACATCCACCATGCTGACCCTCAACAAGGGGGCCAACTGCGTGGCCGCACATGACTCCACACCATCATTATGTTTGCTGACGACACAACAGTGGTAGGCCTGATCACTGACGACAATGAGACATCCATAGGGAGGAAGTCATAAACCTGGCAGTGTGGTGCCACGACAACAACCTCTCCCTCAATGTTGGCAAGACAAAGGAGCTTTTCGTAGACTACAGGAATTGGAGGGCCGAACACGCCCCCATTCACATTGACGGGGCTGTAGTAGAGCGGGTCGAGAGCTTCAAGTTCCTCTGTGTCCACATCAAGGACCTATCATGGTCCAAACACACCAACACAGTCGTGAAAAGGGCATGACAACGCCTCTTCCCCATCAGGAGGCTGAAAGGATTTAGCACAGATCCTCAAAAAGTTATACAGCTGCACCATTGAGAGCATCTTGACTGTCTGCATCACCGCTTGGTATGGCAACTGCTCGACATCCAACCACAAGGCGCTACAGAGGGTAGTGCATAGGGCCCAGTACATCACCGTGGCCATCCAGGAAGGTCCTAAAAATTGCCACCCAAGTCATAGACTGTTCTCCCTGCTCTCGCACGGCAAGCGGTACCGGAGCGCCAAGTCTGGAACCAAAAGGCACCTGAACAGCTTCTACCCCCAAGCCATAAGACTGCTGAACAGTTAATTAAAGACTACCCGGACAATTTACATTGACCCCCTTTACTATATATTTCTTTATCTTTATTGTTTTGCACTGACTCCCTTGAACTGGCTCTATGCACACTCACTAGACTACCCCCACACTCACACATACAACACTGACACTCCAACAAACACACACACTACATATGCTCACAAACATAAAACACACACACACATGCATATTGACACCACACACACACACCCACACTACTGCTACACTGTTTATGCCTGCGGTTATGGAACCCCTACCTGTCCCAGACCTGCTGTTTTCAACTCTTAATGATCGGCTATGAAAAGCCAACTGAGATTTATTCCTGATTATTATTTGACCATGCTTGTCACTTATGAACATTTTTGAACATCTTGGCATGGTTCTGTTATAATCTTCACCCGGCACAGCCAGAAGAGGACTGGCCACCCCTCATAGCCTGGTTCCTCTCTAGGTTTCTTCCTAGGTTTTCGCCTTTCTAGGGAGTTTTTCCTAGCCACCGTGCTTCTACACCTGCATTACTAGCTGTTTGGGGTTTTAGGCTGGGTTTCTGTACAGCACTTCGAGATATTAGCTGATGTAAGAAGGGCTATATAAAATAAAATTGATTGATTGAATTGATTTATTATATATCCTGACTGCCTAGTCACTTTTACCCTTACCCACATGTACATAATGTAGTACCTCAATTACCTCCTACCCCTGCACATTGACTCGGTACTGGTACTCCTTGTATATAGCCTCATTATTGTTTTTATTGTGTTACTATCTCCTTTTTTATTCAGCAAACATTTGTCTTACTTTTTAACTCTGCATTGTTGAGAATGGGCTCATAAGTAAGCATTTCACTGTAAAGTCTAAACCTGTGGTATTCGGCACATGTGACCAATCAAATGTGATTTGATTGTCTTGTTCACATTATAAAAACATAACAGCATCGTCCCCGTAAAACACATAGGAAATAGGAAAGAAATACATCAGTTTCCCATGTCTATCTTCTCCTATCTCTCCCTCCCAGGTTCGGAGCAGATCCCTCTGAGGGAGGAGTTTGAGCAGATCGTGCTGAAGGCCATGTTAGTTTGTCCTGGAGGTCCCTCCATCTCTCCGGCCCAGCTGCCCTGGCTGGCCCGCCTGGAGGCCAGTGTCTCTGGGGGCAGTGTCCAGGTCCTGGTCACCTACAACTCCCTGGGGGAAGGCATCTCGGAGTCCCTGCGCTCGCTTTGTGACGGGCCGCCCTACCAGCAGTGCCTGCCCACCTACGTGGTTATTGTGTGTACCTCCAAGATGAGCGGCAACGAGTTCTGTGTGCTCGTGCTGGGTGAGTGTTCTCATACCGTCAGTACACTATAATACCTAGATGTAGTATGTCTGTATATTTGTAGCATACTAAAGGAAGTAATTACAGTAGGTGAACCTTGCCTGAGACCTGAAGACTTGCGTAAGCTCCCAGAGCTAATGCCTAGGCGTTTAGCTCTGCGGGCTAACACAGTCTTACAGCGCAAAGGAGACTCGGGCTCGTTCATACTTGTCTGTATGTGTCTTACAGGGAAGTACCAGGCACGAGCGCTAGCCGAGGGGATGCTCACCACCAATGAGTTCCTGAAGGAGATCAGCTACGAGCTCATAACAGGGAAAGTCAGTGTCCTGGCGTCTCACTTCAAAACCACCTCACTAGGTGAGTATAATAGATGCCATGGGACACGACATCAATTGAAAACACTCAAAGGTCATTTCTACGCTATTTTCTCGTTTTGTAAAGGAGGAAACGTAATTATTTAGGTAGCCCAATGAATTAATGAATGAAGCTGTGTTACAAAGGCATCAATGACAATGTTTATTTTAGTTTCCGTATGACAACGTAACACCACAATCTAAGTCTCATATTGTGTTTCTGTATCTTTTCCCAATGGCACATATTCACCTTCCTAAATGCCCACTGGCCCATTCCAGTTAGGCAGTCACAGGACTGAAACGAGACACTGTGCCACAAACAGACAGACACATCAATATTTGATGAGTCGATTTTGCTTCTGTATCTGCTGTGTGTGTGTGTGTGTGCGCGCGTTACACTTGTGTGTGCTTGTGCGCATGTGTCTGAGTGGCTCTGTCTCTGACTGGTGGTGGTCTGTTATGTTGTTGTTTCCAGGAGACAACCTGGACAAGCAGCTGGTGCGTATCCAGCGGCGACGGAAGGGCCAGGTCATCCAGCCTTTCCAGGGCGATGTCACTGACCACATCCACTCCCAGGAGGCAGCCACCATGGTGCCACCCTCCGAGTCAGGTGAGGCACGGCCTCTGTCAGGCCCCTCTTCTGTCCCTTCCTCCTCTTACTGCTGGAGACTCGGATGCTATGAAGCCTCTGTATCAGAATATGGATGGATAGATATGATAATAAGCTACAGTATATACTATATACTTGGCTCTAAGTTTCCAGTATGCTGATATGTGTGTTCCTCCCCCCTCCAGAGCTGCTGAGTGAGTTGTTTCAGATCCACCCTCCCCAGCTCAGTGTAGCTAGGAGCCTGCTCTCCCAGGTGTGCTCCATAGCAGACTCAGGCAGCCAGAGTCTGGACCTGGGACGCTTCTGCAAGGTGGACTTCCTGGTTCTGGTTCCCCCGTCTCACGTCCTGGTGAACCAGACCGCTCAACGCATCCGACAATCAGGTACTCATGAGGGGCAAAGAGGATCAAATTAGAATCGAAAGGCAGCAACGGGCAATACAGTTGGTGAAAAACAATTAATTTCTAGGTGGTTGTCAACAAGAGTCCCATGTCAAGACTATCTCTGCCTTTTTATGAGGTTTCTTAGTTACATGTGTTGGACTTTTTGTAATCTCTTTCTGCCTGTCTCTAAAAGGAGTTCTAGTCGACCTGGGTATAGAGGATGCGTCCTCAGCCCACCAGAGGTCCGACAAGTATGTGGTGCGTCTAGACGGAGAAGTCCACGGCAAGATGGAGGCCTTCATGAGGAAGGTCAAACAGAACCCCTACACCCTGTTTGTCCTCATCCACGACAACTCCCACGTGGACCTGACCAGGTAACACACACACACGCATGTCGAACACACACACACACACATTTGAGTATTGAAATTGTGCTGCTGACACTTGGTTCTGACAGATGTGGTAATGAAAACATTGCTATGGTTAGAGGGTATGTCCTCGGCTGTACAGTGTACTGAATAAGAACAGAACAGCCCAAGCCAAGACAGAACAAGACAGAGAAGAGCAAAGGCTTCTTTTTAGTAATACATATAGAACAAGTTTCCCCAAGGAAACCTCATTTTTGTTTCCCCTCTATGTATAGTGCCCTGTCCGGTTCGGTGTGCCATGGGGAGCTTCAGGGTCTGGCTGACAGGGTGGTAAACTGCCAGGAGGTCCTGGAGGCTATGAACCTGCTGGTTCTGCAGGTCAGCTGCTTCCCATTCACCCTGCAGACAAGACAGTCCCGCATCAGCGTCCACAATGAGGTGCACTGGCCAGCCAACACAGTGAGTGGCCCTGTGCAGTGGTTCATCTTTGCCACCTGGTGGCAGCGATATGGAATTACATTTACATGATTTTAGTCATTCTAATAGACACTTATCAAGCGCAACTTACAGTCTGTCAGCGCATTCAAATAAGGAAGGAAAACAACCACATATAACAATCATTGCAAGTTAAACCTTCTAAATGGCCGCTTTCTGCAAAATCATTGGGGAGGTCGTTCCACCACTGAGGTGTCAAATAGAGATATGTCAGACAGACAGAACCAATGATGTATATAAACTCTGGATTGCTGAAGATATGTATTGGCCATTGAGAGGCTTTGAAGCCACCGTTCGGCCATATTGGCACACCCCGGTAGGAGCAGTCCTCCATAGGAATGAATGGAATTCTACAGTATTTCAATCAAATGTTTCAAGGACAAAATTACATGTATTTAAGTATTTTTTGTTGTAGTGGGGACAGTAACATTAGTAATCTCGAAAAATTATACTTTAAGGAAAATGTTTTTATATATTGTTTTCATTTTTAAAAAATGTTTAGCTCACATAATATAATTTAGAAGTATGCATTAAAACAGATTACCATTTTTTGGGGAGTGCCAAGATGGAGGCCCGGTGGCTTCAACACAGCTCCCCCCTATTGGTCATCTAATGTATATATAAATCATTGGTCAGGACATGTAAACTCAGCATAAAAAGAAACGTCCTCTCACTGTCAACTGCGTTTATTTTCAGCAAACTTAACATGTGTAAATATTTGTATGAACATAACAAGATTCAACAACTGAGACATAAACTGAACAAGTTACACAGACATGTGACTAACATAAATTGAATAATGTGTCCCTGAACAAAAGTAACAGTCAGTATCTGGTGTGGCCACCGGCTGCATTAAGTACTGCAGTGCATCTCCTCCTCATGGACTGCACCAAATTTGCCAGTTCTTGCTGTGAGATGTTACCCCACTCTTTCACGAAGGCACCTGCAAGTTCCCAGACATTTCTGGGGGGATTGGCCCTAGCCCTAGCCCTCACCCTCCGATCCAACAGGTCCCAGACGTGCTCAATGGGATTGAGATCCGGGCTCTTCGCTGGCCATGGCAGAACACTGACATTCCTGTCTTGCAGGAAATCACTCACAGAACGAGCAGTATGGCTGGTGGCATTGTCATGCTGGAGGGTCATGTCAGGATGAGCCTGCAGGAAGGGTACCACAGCGTTGAGATTGCCTGCAATGACAACAAGCTCAGTCCGATGATGCTGTGACACACCGCACCAGACCATGACGGACCCTCCACCTCCAAATCGATCCCGCTCCAGAGTACAGGCCTCGGTGTAATACTCATTCCTTCGATGATAAACGCGAATCCGACCATCACCCCTGGTGAGACAAAACCACGACTTGTCAGTGAAGAGCACATTTTGCCAGTCCTGTCTGGTCCAGCAACGGTGGGTTTGTGCCCATAGGCGACATTGTTGCCAGTGATGTCTGGTGAGGACCTGCCTTACAACAGGCCTACAAGCCCTCAGTCCAGCCTCTCTGAGTCTATTATGGACAGTCTGAGCACTGATGGAGAGATTGTGCGTTCCTGGTGTAACTCGGGCAGTTGTTGTTGCCATCCTGTACCTGTCCCGCAGGTGTGATGTTCGGTTGTACTGATCCTGTGCAGGTGTTGTTACACGTGGTCTGCCACTGCAAGGACGATCAGCTGTCCGTCCTGTCTCCCTGTAGCGCTGTCTTAGGCGTCTCACAGTACAGACATTGCAATATATTGCCCTGGCCACATCTGCAGTCCTCATGCCTCCTTGCAGCATGCCTAAGGCACGTTCACGCAGATGAGCAGGGACCCTGGGCATCTTTCTTTTGGTGTTTTTCAGTCAGTAGAAAGGCCTCTTTAGTGTCCTAAGATTTCATAACTGTGACCTTAATTGCATATCATCTGTATCTTAACGACCGTTCCACACGTGCATGTTCATTAATTGTTTATGGTTCATTGAACAAGCATGGGAAACAGTGTTTAAACCCTTTAAAATGAAGATCTGTGAAGTAATTTGGATTTTTACAAATGATATTTGAAAAACAGGGTCCTGAAAAAGGGACATTTCTTTTTTTGCTGAGTTTAGATGTAACTAATAGACAGAGAGATCCATTTGCTCAGACAGCAGCTTATGTTCCTGTATTTGACACATAGGGGGAGCTGTCTCTTAAGGAGCTGGTGTACTTTGGCCTGAGGGACTACAGCAGCTCTCTGCAGTGGGGGGTGGCCAGCCCCATCCTGCGCTGTGACGACGCCTTCGAGAAGATGATCAACACACTGCTGGAGAGGTCAGTCAGTCACTTGGGGTCAGGGTTTAGGGGTCATAGAATCTCTAAGGGTGTTTTAACATATAGTCCTCTTCAGTGGAGGCTGGTGGGAGGAGCTATTTGAGGACGGACTCATTGTAATTGCTGGAATGGAATTAATGGAACAGAGTCAATGTGGTTTCCATATGTTTTATGTGTTTGATAACGTTCCATTTATGCCATTCCAGCCATTACAATGAGCCTGTCCTCCTATAGCCCCTCCCACCAGCCTCCAATGGTCCTCTTTAATATAACCTTTCTCAGTCCTCTTTAAAGTGAACTCTGGGGTAAAAAAAAAAAAAGCAAAAGAACTCAGTTCTCTTTGTATTCACACTGCCCTTGCCTTTGAATGAGGGCACCTGGACCTTTTGCCAGTTCACTTATTTTGTGGTCCGAGTCCTCTTTACATTGTTATGTTTTCAAACATTCACTCAATGCACTCTGGGTTTATATAGAGTGCAGGACAAGCCATTCCATCAGAATGTGTTACCGGACAGCTAGATATACCTACTTACATTTAGGAAACGAATAGATTGCATTTAGTTAAAAGGTGAGACATAATAATTGCAATCAGAAGATAATATTAACATGTAAATATTATGGGTAACAGAATAAATAGCAGAAGAATAACTGCAGATTAAATCATGATGTAATTGAAAATTGGACCCAAGGGTGTCAAACTCAATCCATGACGGCCTGGTGTCTGCTGGTTTTTGGTTTTTCCTTTCAATTAAGACCTAGTGAACCATGTAAGGGGAGTTCCTTACTAATTAGTGACCTTAATTCGTCAATCAAGTACAAGGGAGGAGCGAAAACCTGCTGACACTCGGTCCTCCATGGAATGAGTTTGACACGTGTTGTAGTTAGGCTACTGCCCCTTTAAGAGCTAGAATTGATTTTGTACCCTATGTTGTGATTCTCACTAAATATGTTGTCTTCTCACACTATTCAAACCCCACAATCGAATTAACAGTTTATGAAGCTCTCTTAGCCTTAAGATCACATATTGCAAACAAATAATCTTGAACTAAAAACTCGCTAATCAATATCCAAAAACAGTACATGTTTTTTCCGCAAACCTGCACATCATCATCTTCTCTCTTTTGTGGCACCAATGTCATGGTTATGGCATGGGAAATGTTGCAATAGTCTAATGCAGGGTTACTCAACTCTTACACTACGAGGTCCGAAGCCTGCTCATTTTCTGTTCTACCTGATAATTAATTGCACACACCTGGTGTCCCAGGTCTAAATCAGTCCCTGATTAGAGAGGAACCATTAAAAAATGCAGTGGAACTGGCTTCGAGGTCCAAAGTTGAGTTTGAGGGGTCTAGTGTGTGGTGCGGGAATAATGACAAGCTAACCTAGGGAGCTTTGTGTTCACATTGCCCTAAAAAAGGGAACTAGACTGCGAAATTCAAGCAAACCTAACTCAGACCACCTTTCGAGATGGTGTCAGTTCGGTTTACTTCAGGGGTCTGAGTTCGTTTGGAGTGTTCACACTGCACAAAAAATTAAGCGAACCACACTGAGTTCACAAAAATTGTCTGAAAGGGACCAAGTGTGAAAACACCCTAAGGAGATTTAGGGACAAGTTTAAGGCTGATAGGCATGGCCTCTTTTCCTCTCTCTCACACACTCTGTGTCATAAAAGTCAAACATATTGCTACAAAATGTATGGATAATTTCGTTTCAGGATTGTCAGAAAGCCCATGCTTGACCAGCTCCCCAAAAAGCTGCTAAACCAGTTCACCTGGACACCAAACCTGCCTTAATACAACTAACACCACCACCTCTCCTCTCCCGGTTGCAGACACCCCCACCTACACAGCATGGTGATCAGGAGCTACCTGTTGATCCAGCAGTACACGGAAGCCATGATGGCTCTGACCTCCTCACCTTCACTACGGGACCACATCACCCCAGAGACCCTGGCCATGGTGGAGGATCTGATCAGTGCCCCGGGCCGGGAGGGGACCAGGGGCCGGGGCCACATGCTGCTGGTCCGGGTGCCCTCTCTGCAGCTGGCCATGCTGGCCCGGGAGCGCCTGGAGGACGTCAGGGACAAGCTGGGTCTTCAGTTCTGCTTCGCCGTGCTGCTGGGGAGCCCTGCCGCCGAGCTCAGCCTTCCACGACACTTCGCTAACCGACTCAGGGTGAGACGTGAGGGCAGGGTGGCCAATTTGGATCTGCCTATTCTTACATCTTAAAGGCCCAGTGCAATCAAAAATGCGATTTTCCTGTGTTTTATATGTATTTCCACACTATGAGGTTGGAATAATACTGTGAATTGTGAAAATTATGATAATGCCCTTTTAGTGAAAGAGCTGTTTGAAAAGACCGCCTGAAATTTCAGCCTGTTTTGGTGGGATGGAGTTTTGGCCTGCCTGGAGACATCAGTTAGTTAATAGCCCAATAAGAAAGACAATTCCAAACCTCTCTGCCAATAACAGCTAGTTTTCAGTTTTCCCCTCCCCACTCCCAGACAGTCCTAGCAAAATTCTTGCTTGAGAAATTGCTCTTTGCTAAGAAGCTATATATATTTTTTGGGACCATTTTTAATTGAAAACAATCACAGTAAGGCACTTAATTGTTACCCAGAAATGATTTGACCTTTAACATTGGACCTTTAACACCAACTCTCTCTATGAAAGAAGTGGTTTCCTGAAGATGTCTTAAAAAAATGTCCTCATGTCAAGGGCCCACCCACTTTCATCAAAGACTGAGAAATTGGGTAAATTAGGATCATAATAACTTGGTTTTCATTTGGCTCCTAAACATTTCTAATTGTGTGTTGTTTCCGCAGGCCTGGCGGGGCTGTGAAAGTGAAGACTGGGTCCCTCACACCTATGAGGATCTGGAGGGTCTTCCCTGCATTGTCATCCTCACTGGAAAAGACCCTCTAGGAGAAACCTTTCCAAGGTAGTACTGACATGACAGCATCTATATCTACCTAGCCATAGAAGGTGCATCTCTATTGGATTGACTTTGTAGAATCGATGAATCCCCCACCTCACCTTTATATCTTTCCCCCTTAGGTCCCTGAAGTACTGTGACCTGCGTCTGATCGACTCCAGCTACCTGACGCGTACGGCCCTGGAGCAGGAGGTGGGTCTGGCCTGCTCCTACGTGTCCCTGGGGTTGGTAAAGGAGCCCTGCAGGTCCATGGCCCCCAGGGACCCAGAGACAGATAAGACCAGCGGCCCCCAGGATCCAGACCTAGAGCTGCACATGGACCTGGAGAGGCCCCAGAGCAACGGCAGCGTTGCTACCAAAGGCTCCGGTAGGTACCTGGACAAAAGAGACCCCACATGTTTAGGAAATGGTGACGAGACGATTGTTTAAAGGGTTTAGGATACTGTGTAGTGATGGTGTTACAGTTGTGTTTATGAAATCATTTTGAAATACTGTTCTATGAGTCTGAACTCTCTCCCTTCCACAGGTTCTCTGGCAGAGAACAGGGTCAGCTCCTCTGACATCCCTGACTCCTCCCAGAAGCCTTCCACCTCCTCCTGCCACCCCGGAGGCAAGGCGGGCAGCATCATGATGGAAGAAGGGACAGGTCCGGGCACGACCTCATCCTCCCCCCGCCGGGTCAAACAGGAGTGTGACTCCCTGGGCAGTGCCACCCCCCGCCCCTCCAACGCCCCTCCCTCCTTCTGCTCCTCCTCCTCCTCTTCCTCCTCCCCCTCCTCCTCTTCGACCCAGCACCCCAGCCAGTCTACGCAATGCGGCCGCGGCAGCAAGTCGCCTCGGGTCTCTCCCCGGACTGTCATCCTGTCGCGAGCGGCCTACAACCTCCTGGCAGGAGAATCAGGGAGCCAGCTGAGCTCCTTCTCCCTGCTGCCTCACGCCGATGTGGGTTGGAGCAGCCCACTGAGGCCCCTCTTCACCCCTAACTTACAAGGGTCAGAGCAGAGCCTCTTCTACAGACAGTGGACCGTAGCCAGGCAGCACCATGCCGACCACGAGGCCCCCCCGGGGCCACACCCACGACGCCTGCTGCTCAGCGGACCCCCACAGGTTAGAGACCATACAGATATTTATATATCACCTCTTGTCTATATCAATGACAGCTTCTTTCCTACAGTGGGGGAAAAAAGTATTTAGTCAGCCACCAATTGTGCAAGTTCTCCCACTTAAAAAGATGAGAGAGGCCTGTAATTTTCATCATAGGTACACGTCAACTATGACAGACAAATTGAGAAAAAAAATCCAGAAAATCACATTGTAGGATTTTTAATGAATTTATTTGCAAATTATGGTGGAAAATAAGTATTTGGTCACCTACAAACAAGCAAGATTTCTGGCTCTCACAGACCTGTAACTTCTTATTTAAGAGGCTCCTCTGTCCTCCACTCGTTACCTGTATTAATGGCACCTGTTTGAACTTGTTATCAGTATAAAAGACACCTGTCCACAACCTCAAACAGTCACACTCCAAACTCCACTATGGCCAAGACCAAAGAGCTGTCAAAGGACACCAGAAACAAAATTGTAGACCTGCACCAGGCTGGGAAGACTGAATCTGCAATAGGTAAGCAGCTTGGTTTGAAGAAATCAACTGTGGGAGCAATTATTAGGAAATGGAAGACATACAAGACCACTGATATTCTCCCTCGATCTGGGGCTCCACGCAAGATCTCACCCCGTGGGGTCAAAATGATCACAAGAACGGTGAGCAAAAATCCCAGAACCACACGGGGGACCTAGTGAATGACCTGCAGAGAGCTGGGACCAAAGTAACAAAGCCTACCATCAGTAACACACTACGCCGCCAGGGACTCAAATCCTGCAGTGAAGACATGTCCCCCTGCTTAAGCCAGTACATGTCCAGGCCCGTCTGAAGTTTGCTAGAGTGCATTTGGGTGATCCAGAAGAGGATTGGGAGAATGTCATATGGTCAGATGAAACCAAAATATAACTTTTTGGTAAAAACTCAACTCGTCGTGTTTGGAGGACAAAGAATGCTGAGTTGCATCCAAAGAACACCATACCTACTGTGAAGCATGGGGGTGGAAATATCATGCTTTGGGGCTGTTTTTCTGCAAATGGACCAGGACGACTGATCCGTGTAAAGGAAAGAATGAATGGGGCCATGTATCGTGAGATTTTGAGTGAAAACCTCCTTCCATCAGCAAGGGCATTGAAGATGAAACGTGGCTGGGTCTTTCAGCATGACAATGATCCCAAACACACCGCCCGGGCAACAAAGGAGTGGCTTCGTAAGAAGCATTTCAAGGTCCTGGAGTGGCCTAGCCAGTCTCCAGATCTCAACCCCATAGAAAATCTTTGGAGGGAGTTGAAAGTCCGTGTTGCCCAGCGACAGTCCCAAAACATCACTGCTCTAGCCCTCCTGTTATGTTGTGGGTCAATTTGACCCGTTTCCACTTTTGCGTTGTCTAAAATACTAGTTAACCACTCTTTTTCGCCATGAAATTACATGACTTTTCCTCATTTAGGGTCATGAACCTAACTGCAAAATGTGGACACACTGATGTGTTGTGGAATGTCTGTGTACATTTTGTATACAAACATGATGTTGTGGGTCATTTTGACCCGGAGGCTTTCATGTGTATATATATTTGCACAGGTGCAAAACAAAAAAGTGTCTTTGATTTATTTTGTTTTGACTGGTCCTGGTTGCACTTTTAGAATTGTGTTTGGGTTAAAAAGGGCTTTCCCAAGCTTCTCCTCAGTGTGAGAGCAGCAGGTCCCTGACACAGACACTCAAAAATGAGCTCCAAAAGATTTTCAATCAATGAAGTCTTATCACAAATTCTGGACTGTGACAGTGAAAAAGAAGAAGAGGTTTCAGAGACAGAGGATATTTCAGAGATAGAGGACAATGCTGTTGATGATCCAGATTTTGTCTTCATTGAAGAGGATTCAGAGGAGGAGTCTGCCGTACCATCCCCTACATCAGATGAGAGACAGAGCATGCAACAAGCATCATCAAGAGAAGAGAAGACATGGAAGTCTAAAGATGGTCATATTGAATGGTCACCGTCACCACAACGAGGTCAAGGTAGACTCTCAGCTTCCAATGTAATAAAAATGGTTCCAGGACCTACACGATTTGCTGTCACTCGAGTCCATGACATACAATCAGCTTTTGAGCTCTTTTTACCCCAAGCAATAGAGAAGATTGTTCTGGACATGACCAACTTGGAGGGGAGCCGTGTGTTTCAAGAGAACTGGAAGCCACTGGATCGGATTGACTTGCATGCATACATTGGATTGCTCATATTAGCTGGAGTCTACCGGTCAAACGGAGAAGCAACGGCCAGCCTGTGGAATGAAGAGAATGGAAGGCCAATATTTCGGGCAACAATGTCTCTACAAGAATTCCACATAATTTCTCGGGTGATTCGCTTTGATAACCGTGATACCAGACCGGGTCGACGTGAAAGAGACAAACTAGCTGCAATCAGAGATGTATGGGATAAATGGGTGGAAATTCTACCGTTACTGTACAATCCCAGTCCTCATGTTACAGTTGATGAACGCCTTGTTCCATTCAGAGGACGTTGTCCCTTCAGACAGTATATGCCAAACAAGCCTGCAAAATGTGGCATCAAAATATGGGCAGCATGTGATGCCACATCAAGCTATGCATGGAATATGCAAGTTTACACTGGGAAGCCACCCGGCGGAGTGCCTGAGAAAAACCAGGGGATGCGGGTGGTGCTGGACATGAGTGAAGGGCTGCAAGGTCATAACATCACGTGTGACAACTTCTTCACATCCTACCGCCTTGGTGTTGAACTACAGAAGAGAAAGCTGACCATGGTTGGAACAATCAGAAAAAACAAACCTGAACTTCCCAGTGAGCTTCTGAAAATGCAGGGCAGAACTGTGCATTCCTCTAAATTTGCTTTCTCTGAAAATGCAACTGTTGTTTCATACTGCCCAAAGAAGAACAAGAATGTTCTTGTAATGAGCACAATGCACAAAGATGCATCGCTGAGTGCAAGAGAGGACATCAAGCCACAAATAATACTGGACTACAATTCCACCAAAGGAGGAGTTGACAATTTGGATAAAGTCACAGCAACATATAGTTGTCAGCGCATGACTGCCCGCTGGCCTTTGGTGATTTTCTACAACATTGTGGATGTGTCTGCTTACAATGCCTATGTCCTGTGGACTGAAATCAACCAGCAATGGAATGGTGGCAAATTGTACCGACGCCGGCTTTTCCTAGAGGAGCTCGGCAAAGCTCTCATCACTCCCAAGATCCAGAGGAGAGTCCGGCCTCCTCGGTCGACAGCAGCTGCATCTGCCGTCCAGAAAATTCAAGCTGGACCATCAACACATGCCTCCAATCAACCAGAAATGGATCCAGTGGATACAGGCAGTGGCAAGAAACGGAAAAGATGCCAGCTCTGCCCCCCTCGACAAGACAGTAAAACAAGCACCACTTGTGTAGAATGCAATAAATACATCTGCAGAAAGCACACACACACATTGTGTTCAACATGTAGAGAGAAAGACTGAAGGGATAATATGGACCAATAGGGGGGGAAAAAACCTACTTGGGGAAACTGAAAAATCTTGTTTGTGAGAAAGGAAATATGTTTAACAAATAGTTCTTAAATATTGTTTAAAAAAAATAAAAAGTATTGTATTTCTTCTTTCTGAAATGTCTGATAAGACAAAATAAAGTTGTTTCTGTTTTTACTTAATTCTTTGACTGTCTTGAGTGTGTTTAAACTGTGCGGGTCAATTTGACCCGTAACATAATGGATGTCATTTTTTTCCAGCAAAGCACAAGGGCTAGAGGAGATCTGCATGGAGGAATGGGCCAAAATACCAGCAACAGTGTGTGAAAACCTTGTGAAGACTTACAGAAAACGTTTGACCTGTGTCATTGCCAACAAAGGGTATATAACAAAGTATTGAGAAACTTTTGTTATTGACCAAATACTTATTTTCCACCATAATTTGCAAATAAATTCATTAAAAATCCTACAATGTGATTTTCTGGATTTTTTTTTCTCATTTTGTCTGTCATAGTTGACGTGTACCTATGATGAAAATTGCAGGCCTCTCTCATCTTTTTAAGTGGGAGAACTTGCACAATTGGTGGCTGACTAAATACTTTTTTTCCCCACTGTATAAGCCATGCATCGTATTCTAGAGCTGCATGCTGATATTAATTTTCCTCACTTATGAGGGATAAGTGAGGCCCTGGAGATAACTAGCACTATTCAACCAAGAGAATATCGACCTAGTTGTATGGAGTCTTAAGAGGCAATTGTGTATAATGACGGTATTCGAATGGATACCACATATTGAGTGGCAATGGCTGCATGCAATGTCAAAGAGTGTCAGTGGTAAAAAACAGATAGGTTGTAATCAGTTGAATAACTCTGTTTTGTCTCTCTGATAGGTGGGGAAGACAGGTGCCTACCTGCAGTTTCTACGCATCCTGTTCCGCATGTTGATTCGACTGCTTGAGGTGGATGTGTATGATGAAGAGGAGGAGCTGGAGGAAGGTGAGGAGAGCAGGATCTTATAGTTAATATGTTCTTTATCTGTCTGTTTCTCTCTCTCTCTCATAATGTCTTAGTCTAGAAACTGAAGCTAATGTCAATGTATGTTGATGTATTATTATTTTCTAGTGATGACGGATATGTTCGAGGCCACACCCCCAGCCAGCACCCAGTGGCCAGACATCGAGGAGATCCGCAAACTGCCCTTCGACCTCTTCCCCAGAGATCCTAAGTTCAGAAGGGCCAGCGCTGTTTACACTGACAAGATGCAAAAGGGCTTGAAAGGTCAGCAGAAATAAACTCTTATTCACGTCCCTGTCATTGTAGGAGGAAGCTCCCTTTGTTTCACTGATTCAGGGTCAGATATTGGTGCACCTTCTACCGCAACTTCTACCTCAAGCATCACTGTCTATGTATATTGATTTGTCATCTGTGTGAATCTTAAACAGCTTTGTCTCATAGCATGTGGGTATAACTGTAATGTTTGTCCATGCAGATCCTAAACTGGAAGGAGAGAGCAAAATGCCTGTGAAGAGGGAAACGGTGTCGATACGGCTGAGTATGTTCGCAGCCCACAATGCATTTCACCATTGTGAGCAGTGTCACCATTACTGTGAAGCCAGCCCAGCCACACAGGTGAGTGCACAGGGAGGGAACAGAGCCATGTACAGTATTTATATCTAAATATATGGCTCTGGGAAGGAAGAGGTAGCTTTGTTTGTCATTCTGAAGAGATAATTTGTCTCAAGGGAGAACTTGATTTATTGGCTTAACTAACAGATCACCTGCGTCAACTATTGCTGTGTCATTTGGTCTCAACCCCCCTTCTCCCCCATTTCTAAACCTATAGAAAAACGACCGCCCAACTTGTAGAAAGACTGGTGTGCTCAGCGGTTCAGCCTTTTGTGCTGAGCCGTGTGCTGAGTGGTGCAGCTCTGTCTGTGCTGGAAGTGTACATGTGTGTTGTTGTGTTTGTGTTCAGCTGTCAGAGTGCACCTTCCACGCCTTCACGTTCTGCTCTTCCATGCTGGGAGAGGAGGTTCAGCTTCACTTCATCATCCCCAAGGCCAAGGAGAAGCACTTTGTCTTCAGCCAGCAGGGAAGCCACCTGGAGAGCATGAGGCTGCCCCTCGTCTCTGCTAAGGTAAATGGTGATGGGGGAAATCAGTGGGGATTGGGGAAAACCTTGAGACTGCCCTCGAGTTCTAAGAATGTTGTGCCCAAGATGAATATCATCAATAGTGACAAGAAATATTCTCATCCTTCAGCTTCTGTAATCAGTAGTGCATTCTAAACTCAGCAAAAAAAGAAACATCCCTTTTTCAGGACCCTGTCTTTCAAAGATAATTCGTAAAAATCTAAATAACTAGTACAGGATGGCAACAACAACTGCCCGAGTTACACCAGGAACACACAACCCCTCCATCAGTGCTCAGACTGTCCGCAATAGGCTGAGAGAGGCTGGACTGAGGGCTTGTAGGCCTGTTGTAAGGCAGGTCCTCACCAGACATCACCAGCAACAATGTCGCCTATTGGCACAAACCCACCGTCACTGGACCAGACAGGACTGGCAAAAAGTGCTCTTCACTGACGAGTAGTGGTTTTGTCTCACCAGTGGTGATGGTCGGATTCGCGTTTATCGTCGAAGGAATGAGCGTTACACAGAGGCCTGTACTCTGGAGCGGGATCGATTTGGAGGTGGAGGGTCCGTCATGGTCTGGGGCGGTGTGTCACAGCATCATCGGACTGAGCTTGTTGTCATTGCAGGCAATCTCAACGCTGTGCGTTACAAGACATCCTCCTCCCTCATGTGGTGCCCTTCCTGCAGGCTCATCCTGACATGACCCTCCAGCATGACAATGCCACCAGCCATACTGCTCGTTCTGTGCGTGATTTCCTGCAAGACAGGAATGTCAGTGTTCTGCCATGGCCAGCAAAGAGCCCAGATCTCAATCCCATTGAGCACGTATGGGACTTGTTGGATCGGAGGGTGAGGGCTAGGACTAGGGCCATTCCCCCCCCAGAAATGTCCGGGAACTTGCAGGTGCCTTGGTGGAAGAGTGGGGTAACATCTCACAGCAAGACCTGGCAAATCTGGTGCAAATCTGGTGCAGTCCATAAGGAGGAGATGCACTGCAGTACTTAATGCTGGTGGCCATCCCAGATACTGACTGTTACTTTTGATTTTGACCCCCCCTTTGTTCAGGGACACATTATTCAATTTCTGTTAGTCACATGTCTGTGGAACTTGTTCAGTTTATGCCTCAGTTGTTGAATCTTCTTATGTTCATACAAATATTTACACATGTTAAGTTTGCTGAAAATAAACGCAGTTGACAGTGAGAGGACATTTCTTTTTTTGCTGAGTCTATTTGCTGAAATGAAATCGTACCATAAGCAACACATAATCAACACAGACACTCACACCACATGTCACACACAGAGTGAACTATGCACTTATGTGTCTCTCGTTTGCTCACTTTAGTTGTTTGATGCTACTGGTGCCCTGGGCCATAGCCTAGTGGAACCAGCCTGATCTTGCCATAGCTCAGCTCAGCGGTCAGTCTGCTTGATCAGGCTACCTGCACCCTAGCCTGCTGCACTATGCATCTTTAACTATAGCTCTCCTTCTTCCATCCCAGGACCCCAGTCTGTTGAAAAGTCCCATCTTCACCCCGACCACGGGGCGCCAGGAGCACGGCCTTCTCAACATCTTTCACGCCATGGAGGGCACCGCCCACCTCCACATCCTAGTGGTCAAGCAGTATGAGATGCACCACTACAGGAAATACTGGCCCAACCACATCCTGCTGGTGCTGCCTGCCATGTTCAACAGCGCCGGAGTTGGTGAGTGTCTGGGCTCTTGGGTAAAGTTTTCCCCTAGGTACAGATCTAGGATCAGCTTCTGCTCCCCCAATCCTAACCGTAACCATTAGTGGGGAAAATACAAAACTGACCAGTCAATCAGTCATTTAGATAGGTTAACTCATTTTATTGGTCGAGTTCTGTGATCCTCAACTCTGCTTGGAAAGTTGCAGTACTATAGGTTTTTGTCCCAGCATATCGCTCAATAAGGTGTTTCACTGCTGAGCGGTAACATTGAGGACCATAGTCATTTGTGATGAAACAAAGAAACCATAGAGTTGCCTTGCAAAGTATAAACTATTTTTAGGCATTGCTTTATTTATACACTAATGTATTTTACATTGTTAGTTTGTCGAGTAGCTTATCTCTCTCTGATGATAATGATGCATCTACAGCAGTCTGTGTGAACTTCAAGAGACATACTGTATCTATATTACCATAAGCATGTTTGGACACATAACTGTAGTAGGTACGTGAGATTTGAATATGGCAGGAACCAAAAGGGAAGGGCCTGGTCAATGAGAACACCAGCAGGCCAGTAGTCTGATGTATGGATCTACCGTTTAGGTGTATAGTCTTTATGGATGGCCCAATAGTGTTGCAGCACTACAAGCACATGCCAGGTGTAGCAATAGGGGCATTAGGTAAAGGCTGAAAGGACAGGACAATTTAGCAGGTGAGAGAACCAATAAAGTAATACTTGGAGTTCAGGTCAAAGCTATTGTGTTCAGACTGTTGTGTGAGTTGGAGTTGAAGCTCTGTGGTAGAGTTCTTGGGTTGGTGGTTGGCAGTGGTGATTTTAGCATGTAAATCTTGGTGGGGCAAACACAACATAACACTAAACAATACATTAATTGCACTAAAACGGTGACAAACGGTACCCACAAACTGTTAGGCCCTACATAAAGCTGTCCCAACAGCAGAGTCCCAACAGCAGTCCCAACACCTTACCACTGCTACACCTGGCTATCAGCGGAGCCTTGTCTGGCAGTGAAACAGTTCATTCAGCCTCATTTACTGCCTTTAAAAAAACATAGCTGATATGGCTGACTTGCTTAAACAAATGTGGTTTCTACTGACAATTGAGATGTACAAACTATGGCATAAGGGGACGACGAGCGGAGAAAAGGCAATCCGTAATTTCGATTAAGACATTAATGAGCGAGCTAGGACGGACGTAGTCAATATAACTATTTTTTCAGCACTTTTGAAATGTACAGCGACAGAATTCAGAACATGGGCCGTTCTTACAGTGTTCCCCCTGTACACCAAGTCAGAATCGTAGGATAAATAAAGGGGGCATATATATAAGCAGACAATGAAAGCTCTTACAATATTCGATGATGACATTTCTCTAAAACAGGCTATAGGCTACATGTGCACCACCAAGTCAGAACAGTAGGCAAAATTATGAGGGGAAAAGTGACCAAATTATTAGGGTGAGGCACATGGGCTACTAACAGCTTACTACACAACATACACTTAGTATTACTTTCTTATCTGCAGACAGTATACATATCTCCCTGGCATATTACATAATTTATGCAGCAGCATAAAAAATACAAAACTGACCAGTCAATTTGGACTCACCTTGTTGTGCTGTGCTGTGCCTACTTGAACAGGAAGGTGGCGCGGCGGTCCTTCGTGGGCAAATTTTGTCATCAAAGTCTGGCTTTCTCTGGATTTATTGTGCTTTCAAGACAACTGGGAACTCTGAAAAAAACAAGGTTGAATCATGATTACGTCCTCTTGAAAGAGACCAGAGTTCCCGACTTGCGAGTCTGAGTTGGATGACCGTTCAAAATGTATTTTCCCAGTTGGAGCTTGTTTTTTTCAGAGTTCCTAGTTGTCTTGAAGTCACTGAAGTCAGATATCCCCGTTTCAAGTTTCCAGTTGTTTTGAGCATGGCAAAAGTCATGCTGGATTGACAGCATGGCCAATGTTGAATGTTTATCCTTTTAAGCTTGGAAAGAGACCCTTAAACCCAGACTTGGGACCACACACCCACTCCACTGAATAGCTGGCTAGTGATTGCTTTGCAATGCTTGCAGTTAGCCACTGATTCCTTCCAAACCACTCATTGTTGAATTTGTGATTTCCAACTTGTAATGTTTATGTCCAATGGCCGATGAGCACCGATACGTTTTATCTATAATTTCTCTTCATTACTTCTCTTCATATGACAAGGATTAAAAAGGATTTGCCAGTAGATTGTCGACTTGATTCATGATGATGACTGCTAGCTTGCTAGCTAAGATTTTGAAAGTATGATGTTGACATGATCAGTCCAATCAAAGCTACTGTAGATATAGCGTGATTTGACCTCATTTTATCTGTGGCCAATGACCTTGAGCCTTCTTGGATGGGCACTTCTAATGTAACTCTATGGCAGCACCCAAGGGGCTTGAATTTTCGAGCTCTAGCCTTAGATTTTGCGGTGACGTAGTGTCCCCCATGAGTGACAGAACACTGAGCCAATCACGGCGCAACTAGAGAACATTACCAACCCCTGCGCTCTGTATTTTCCGCTGGCTGCCCCAATACCACAGAAAGCACTGAGCTAGGCTGAAACACCTGCATTCTGGAGCAGCCTTACTCAAGAAAGCAAAAAAGAGACCAAGTTTGGATGCGGCTGTACTAACTCAAAGATTGTAAAACATTTTACATTGTTTGCTAACTGATATATGACACGTATTAATGCCAAAATAACTGACTATGAAGTTTTCCAATATAATAATCGTAGTTTTTTTGTATAATTAGTGTATTATTTTTGCTAAACAGGTGGGGCTCAAAACCCCACCTGCCCTGAATGATGGATCGCCACTGGTAGTTGGCTAATATTTTTCTGCGGTGACCATACAAGTTGTGACTATAGCCCACATAAAGCTGTTGGAATTGACATTGGTCATAACTAGACACCAGACTTTTTCCTGGTCAGGTCATGTGGTTAGGCAAATAAATAAAATATCAGTGGGTCTCCACCATCCTATATACTGTATCATTATGGTTATTATGGGGCGGCATCGCATTAGGGAACTAGTGTGTCTCAAATGGCACCCTATTCTCTGTATAGTGCACTACTTTTGACCAGAGCCCTGGTCAAAAGTAGTGCACTAAATTGGGAATAGAGTGCCATTTGGGATACAGCCACTGTCAGTAACATAGCAGTAACATTACTGTTGTATCTGTACCAGGGGCGGCTCGTTTCATGATCAAGGAGCTGTCGTACCACAACCTGGAGCTGGAGAGGAACCGTCTGGAGGAGCAGGGGGTCAAGAGGCAGGACGTCTGGCCCTTTATAGTAATGATGGATGACTCCTGTGTGCTCTGGAACGCACACCAACCCCAGGACAGCAGCAGGTATGGGTTACAACAGACCCAGCAAACCAAAATAGGTTCTGTGAACATTCCTAGAACATTAATCAGGTTGCCACAAAAGTTCTAATACATTTACATTTACATCATTTAGCAGACGCTCTTATCCAGAGCGACTTACAAATTGGTGCATTCAACTTATGATAGCCAGTGGGACAACCACCTTTTAAAAAATAATAATGTTTTATGGGGGGTGGGGGAAGAAGGATTACTTTATATTATTCCAGGTATTCCTTAAAGAGGTAGGGTTTCAAGTGTCTCTGGAAGGTGGTCAGTGACTCCGCTGTCCTGGCGTCGTGGGGGAGCTTGTTCCACCATTGGGGTGCCAGAGCAGCGAATAGCTTTGACTGGGCTGAGCGGGAACTGTGCTTCCGTAGAGGTAGGGGAGCTAGCAGGCCAGAGCTGGATGAACGTAGTGGTGTAGGGTCTGATCAGAGCCTGAAGGTAAGGAGGTGCCGTTCCCCTCACAGCTCCGTAGGCAAGCACCATGGTCTTGTATTAGATGCGAGCCTCTACTGGAAGCCAGTGGAGTGTGCGGAGGAGCGGGGTGACATGAGAGAACTTGGGAAGGTTGAACACCAGACGGGCTGCAGCGTTCTGGATAAATAACACAAAAACTGTCCAGTTGTGCTGATTATTATACAATGTTTGTATAAAACATTCACCTGATGTTGCAAGAACGTTCCCAGAACACATTTTGTTATTACATTACCTGGATACCAAATAAGAACCTTAGGGGAATGTTCTGTAGTGGTTGTTACAGATGTTGTGCACAACATTTTAGTGAATGTTCCGATAACATTCCAAGGATATTTCATTTAAACATTTTCTGAAAAAAAGAAACATTTTATTATGAAAAACATTTTTTGAATGCTTTTGTGATGTTATCATCCTAATCTAAGATAAAGCCCTAACTTAATGGGAATGTTAGCTAATGTCTTGGGAATGTTCCTGGTTTACTGGGGAAACTGGCACACTGACACACGCAGGCACAAACGCACGCACTCTCACAAAAACAACCCCAAAACACCCAGATTATTGGTCCATGACTATCTATCAGCAATTAATTCTCAGAAAGAACTGTATTATATCTGGACTACTCTATCAACAACCATACTAATATCTGTCTACCCACTCTTCCCTGTCTCCCTCAGTGATATGGCAGACACTGGGCCCAGTCTGACCAACGTGTCTTTAAAGACTGTGCTGCAGCACATGGAGGCCACTCCTAAGATCTCCCTCTACGCCATGTGTGGCGCCCGCAAGTGGAGCAGTGCCCTGGCCCGCCGCCTGCCAGCCCTGCCCTTCTCCCGATGCCACCTTCACGACTTTGTCATGCTCAACATTGAGCTGACGCAGAACGTCCAGTACGACCTCAACAGGTACAGTTGTGAGGAGGTGGACTTCAACCTGAGAGCCAACAGCAGTGGTCTGCTGCTCTGTCGCTTCAACCACTTCAGCTTGATGAAGAAACAAATTCCCTTTGGAGGACACAAGGACTTCCTGGTCAAACCCAAACTCATGGTGAGTGTCCTGGCTCCTCCTTTTTCTACCTCATCTCCTTGTCTGAGAGATATATTGCGTGTGTGTGCGTGCGTGCGTGCGTGTGTGCGTGCGTATGCGTGTACGTGTGCATGTGTCTGAAACACAGTCAGTCAGTCATCCTAACCCCTACCCTGCTCCCCCTCTAGGTGATGGAGAACCCAACACCCATCAGCCCGCCCCAGTATATCTGTGCCCCAGACAGTGAACACACCCTCCTGGCCGCCCCGGCTCAGTTCCTCCTGGAGAAGTTTCTCCAGAGCTGCAGCCACAGACTGTTCCCCAAGGCAGTACAGAACAGTAGCAACCCCGTGCTGTCCATAGACAGCTACCTCAACATAGGCCCTGAGGTAAGATCCAACCCCTAGACAGCTACCTCAACATAAGCCCTGAGGTAAGATCCAACCCATAGACAGCTACCTCAACATAAGCCCTGAGGTAAGATCCATAGACAGCCTATGTACCTCAACATAGGCCCTGAAGTAAGCAGCAACCCAGTGCTCGACAGCTACCTCAACATAGGCTTACCATGAGGTACGAGCTGAGCAAGTCTGGTGGAGAGCATGTGAAAATCTTGAGATACATGTATTTTCTGCTAAATAGATTTATGAAAAATGTTTTAATCAAGTGCAGGTTTATTGTGAGAACAGATCCCACAAACTGTTTCCATGATAAAAAGTCATGACTGAGATGGTGGAGATGTGACTGCGCTTTCTGCATCCCCAGGTGTCAGTGTGCTACGTCAGCTCCAGACCACACTCCATTAACCTGGACCACCAGGGTCTGGTCTTCAGTGGCCTGCTGCTCTACCTGTGTGACTCCTTTGTCGTCTCTGGCCTCCTCAAAAAGTTCAGCTTCCTCAAAGGTAACTAATGCTACTTCAATGTTGTTGTTTTTTAGTCCTTATGTGAAGTTAAGTGTAACCTCATCCTGAGTTGCGAAACCATAAAAAAATATTAGGAAGACGGTATTTTGGCCCATTCCTCCATGCAGATCTCCTCTAGAGCAGTGATGTTTTGAGGCTGTCGCTGGGCAACACAGACTTTCAACTCCCTCCAAAGATTTTCTATGGGGTTGAGATCTGGAGACTGGCTAGGCCACACCAGGACCTTGAAATGCTTCTTACGAAGCCACTCCTTCGTTGCCCGGGCGGTGTGTTTGGGATCATTGTCATGCTGAAAGACTCAGCCACATTTCATCTTCAATGCCCTTGCTGATGGAAGGAGGTTTTCACTCAAAATCTCACGATACATGGCCCCATTCATTCTTTCCTTTACACGGATCAGTCATCCTGGTCCCTTTGCAGAAAAACAGCCCCAAAGCATGATGTTTCCACCCCCATGCTTCACAGTAGGTATGGTGTTCTTTGGATGCAACTCAGCATTCTTTGTCCTCCAAACATGACGAGTTGAGTTTTTACCAAAAAGTTATATTTTGGTTTCATCTGACCATATGACATTCTCCCAATCCTCTTCTGGATCATCCAAATGCACTTAAGACGGGCCTGGACATGTACTGGCTTAAGCAGGGGGACACGTCTTGCACTGCAGGATTTGACTCCCTGGCGGCGTAGTGTGTTACTGATGGTAGGCTTTGTTACTTTGGTCCCAGCTCTCTGCAGGTCATTCACTAGGTCCCCCCGTGTGGTTCTGGGATTTTTGCTCACCGTTCTTGTGATCATTTTGACCCCAAGTGGTGAGATCTTGCGTGGAGCCCCAGATCGAGGGAGATTATCAGTGGTCTTGTATGTCTTCCATTTCCTAATAATTGCTCCCACAGTTGATTTCTTCAAACCAAGCTGCTTACCTATTGCAGATTCAGTCTTCCCAGCCTGGTGCAGGTCTACAATTTTGTTTCTGGTGTCCTTTGACAGCTCTTTGGTCTTGGCCATAGTGGAGTTTGGAGTGTGACTGTTTGAGGTTGTGGACAGGTGTCTTTTATACTGATAACAAGTTCAAACAGGTGCCATTAATACAGGTAACGAGTGGAGGACAGAGGAGCCTCTTAAAGAAGAAGTTACAGGTCTGTGAGAGCCAGAAATCTTGCTTGTTTGTAGGTGACCAAATACTTATTTTCCACCATAATTTGCAAATAAATTCATTAAAAATCCTACGATGTGATTTTCTGGATTTTTTTCCCTCAATTTGTCTGTCATAGTTGACGTGTACCTATGATGAAAAGTACAGGCATCTCTCATCTTTTTAAGTGGGAGAACTTGCACAATTGGTGACTGACTAAATACTTTTTTTCCCCACTGTATATGTGAAGCCAAGGGTTATTCATCTCCAATTAAATTAACTTGATCAATGCCACTTTTCTGATTTGTTCTCTGACCTCTGACTATGATGTTTTCCAATATAAACCTCCCATGACATATGTTACACTGAGCCATATAGCAATAAATGCATATATAGTAGGAAAACCATAGCACCTTTTTGATTGGTTCCCTGACCTATGGCCTCTGACCCTGTCCATAGGTGCCACGTTGTGTGTGATCTGCCAGGACCGTAACTCTCTGCGTCAGACAATCGTGCGGCTGGAGCTGGAGGACAAGTGGCAGTTTCGTCTGCGGGATGAGTTCCAGACGGCCAACTGCAGCGAGGACCGGCCCCTCTACTTTCTCACAGGACGCCATGTTTGACCCTGAGACTGCTGCCAGACCTGCCCAACCGCCCTCCTGTCCCATCCACCCTAACCACTGATCTCAGACCAGTTAACAATCATGACGATTCCCTGTCTGTTAGAGGATACAACCACTGTTCTCAGATCTGTTTAGCTGACCTCCTGTCAGACACTAATCAAACAGGAGTATAACATTACATTTACATTTAAGTCATTTAGCAGACATTACAGTTAGTGACTTACAGTTAGTGCATACATTACTTTATTTTTATCTTTTTTATACCCCCCGTGGGAATCGAACCCACAACCCTGGCGTTGCAAACGCCATGCTCTACAAACTGAGCTACATCCCCTGCAGGCCATTCCCTCCCCTACCCTAGACGACGCTGGGCCAATTGTGCGCCGCCCCATGGGTCTCCCGGTCGCGGCCGGCTACGACAGAGCCTGGATTCGAACCAGGATCTCTAGTGGCACAGCTAGCACTGCGATGCAGTGCCTTAGACCACTGCGCCACTCGGGAGACATCTGTTCTCAGACCAGTTAACAATCACAATTATGTAAGGAGATCAGAGAGAAGTATTGGGGCACATCAAGGCCAAAGTGTCCAGGAAATGGACAAGTGGCCATCATCAATGTGGATGTGATGACTTCTCCTTCTACAGTACATGCTCCTCCACCACGCTGCACTATGTTTGGAACAGAAGTGGTTGGCCAGTGAGTGTTAACTCAGGCTTGTGTTGGGGTCTGACCCTAATCTGAGCCTGTTTAAAATTCAAAGACTTTACTGTGCAAAAATCGCCGTTATTAATGAACATTTGTATTTGTTGATGTATTTCTTTCTGCAAAAAGAGACTCTCATCATTGATAATGGGACTTATTCAAAGATTGTAAACGTAGAGCTGTGGCAAACGCAGTTCTCGTTGGGATGCCCCGTCATAGACATACGCTTTATCTCAGGGTTGTTGACGTGAGAGGCAACAACGAGTTGCCCGTCACTAAAGGCAAACTACTACTTTTCTTTCTCGCCTTCAGTGTCAAGTGTTGTAACCTATTACCCATTGTAATGTTGTTGATACCCCTGATATGATATGACCCACAAAATACATCCACATCTGCACATTGCCCATAACCTCCTCTATTCTCCCCTTCGACTGTCTGCCTATTTCAGAAGAACACTCAAAAAGAAATCCCACTCCGTTTTTAGATTACTAGAGTACATATTATAGATTCTGGAGTGTATTAGAATTCTATCATCACATTAATGACCTGAAGGTCTAGTATATCAATTTCTATGCTGATCAGTCAGGGAAAAAGCTTCTAGTTGATATCTGAGCCACTGTGTAGTGTACTGTCCTGTCCAGTTACATTTGACTGGCAAGCCACTGCAAGGGACCCTGTTGCTCTTGTGCCTTCATATTGCAACATGTTGTCCCTAACTAAACTGTTCCTATGACATTGTCTTTTTGATAATCTAACTGAGCCAATCAAATGGAGCGAGGGAGAGCAGGAAGAGACCTGTTGACCAATCAGTTAGCTCTAAAGACCTGATGCTCAGTTAGAAAGTAGAATTCTATTTCATGTTATGTGGATGATGCATATATCCCAGTAGCTCCCACTACTAGATAAGGATGTAATAGAAAGAGCAAACCTTCACTGCCACCTCTATCTATCTTGCTATTGACTGTGCCTGTGGTCTTGTTTCTTATTGTAATATTACTCAGTGATCTGTTCTCTGTGCCTGATAGTATAGATGCTTTAGGCCTCCACCCATATACCTTAGTTCATCCAGTCAAATGACTTACAGTTGCAGGGTTTTCACATGAAACCATGGATAATCAGAGAATGGGTGTGGTCTGCTGTCATCAGATGAATAGGTCAATTCCTATACCTGAAAGCAGGTAGGAATGGTTTTATATGTTACTGCACAGGGTCATCCAAAGAATATGCCTTATTAAGTGATGTTGTTACATAGATCACTCATTTGCAGTGAAGGTAATATTGTAATAAGTCTTATAATGGAGAGGCCATAGACCAATCCAAATGAAGAAATTGTGAGAAACATCTGTCCGGTTGGGGTTAAGGGAAAAAGTTGGATTTGAGGACTACTGTCTGTTGTTAAAAGCTTTGTTTACATTATTAATATATTCAATCAACCCTATTACGGCTTGCGGAGGGTTTTTGACATGTTTTGTATTGTGTCACTTTTATCAGTTATGTTATGGTGTCATGATAATGTCTTTCTGTCTGCATTTTGTGTTTGCCAGCCCAGGCACAAAGAATCTACCTAAGATTTCTTCTTCTTACCATGTTCGTTTCCCTGGCTTTTCTCACGTCAGATTTATTATAATTTTAAAAAATGAAAATCATGTCCTTTACATGAGAGATTCTTATTTATTTGAACAAGCATTTTGGACTGATAATCATATTGAAGTGTAATAATATTGATTGCATGCTGACTGAGCTAGCTAAAATCAAGAAGCGTATCCTCTTCTGAAAACCATTGATGAAGGCTTTGCACAAGACCAAGAGATCTTGAGTCTTATCTACTGAATGCTGAGGGGGTAGGAAATGTGAACTTGCACTATACAACTTGCCAGCAGCAAAAGAAAAGTATTTATCATTGTCATCAAAACTGTAAGGGGTAAATGATGAACAAAGACAATATTGATTACACTAGCAGTAAAGACAGACAGTGTTAATTGATTAATCGGATTGATTGATGATCAGACCCTTTGATATTGATCATACCCTTTTGACCCATTGAATGTGTCTTGTTTATAGATAATTAGATGAACACATACAGTAACTTATGCAATTTGCTTCTCACAATCTTCACTGAAGTATTATCTGTTGTGGGTATGTAAGTGTCTTGCTAAAGATTTGGCGACCCAACCGATGGTAGCCTTGGCCTCAGAGTCATCTACCTCATGTTGACCATTGTGGTTGTACAGTATGTGGGCTGTGAACATTTGACTTTGGAAAACATGCTTTTGTTGTTGGAATTTGTGAATGTAATAAAGTGACATTACAATAAACTAGGGAGTTGTGAAGATGTTTTGTTTATATGTTGAACTGTGCTCACATCAAACAAATTCATTGAAAGGGTACTACAAAAGGTGGATACATTTTTTTGTTATATTGATGGATAAAAAGTACACGTTTATTTCCTTGCTCTTGCGTAGCATTTTATTGATAAGTAATCCCCTGAGGCCACGTTTTAGAATAATGTGTTCCTTACAAAACGCTTGTAGTTAGCAACCCAGTTTTTTGTTGTCAATCTGTTCCATAACCTTTTTCACCCTTTTACAACGACCCTCTAGTCCAGTGGTATTCAACGTTTGAGAGTTGTATTCTAATTCCTAATTCTATGGTCGGCCCATGTACTGTACTGTTCTATTTATAAGCCATGGGAGGTAGTAATGGGACAAGGGAGTTTCATTCACCTCCAACCCCAGTGTGGTGTAACACCAGGTTATTTTAAGTCACTAGTATTACTATAAACTCTGTCAAACCCTGTTGAGAGGAGCAGACACTTACAGTTCTCGCTCTCGCTCGCTTTCTACACAGTAAAATCGCAAGAGTTCATTCAACTTCTATGGAAATGTAACACTATTTGGGGGTTTATATGGTCCCACCCCCATTTTGTGTTAAAACTACTCTGGTCATGGTGTTGATATTTTTGGACTTAAAACAACACTGAATGGACTAAATATCCAACTCTCAGACAGTTGCTTAAATTGAACTCCAATTGCCATTTGACTCTTTTCAGTATCTTTTTTAATCAACTCCCTTGCCATTTTACACTTTTCTGTATTGTTTTGAATTAACAATCAACTACAGCAGAGTCCATTTCTCTTTCAGTTTACTTCTTTTGAGTTATAAGAGTGTAAAGCCTTATTTGAATATTTCATAACATGTCACATTATGGTGGTTTGCAATGTGATATCCAATCTCTGTTGTATGCCAATTTGCAGGAAGATATCCAGCACTTTTAGAATGCCTGTCTGAGTAAGGAAGGAAATACAGTACATGAAGACTACTTACACCATGTAAACTAGAACAACTATCTCACTAACGGTTGCCATACATCCAGCCACTTACAGATTGGATTCGTTTTTAAAAGTTTATTATCTTTGTGTAGCATAAGATCAAAAACAATCAATGTACAGTACATGTGAAAATACAGATATTGAAACAAACAATTTTAAAAATCAACCTGCAACGGAGCATGCTGAGAAATATGACAATCCACATCTGTGGATAACTCCATAGATTTAACTCCCTGTCTCTGGTTACTCTTAATGGAGTTAAAAGTACTCAGTCATAATGAACTCCAGTTATCAACACTAGCTCCAGGGAGAATATCACTCTCTTGAGGGTTAAGATAACTCCCAGTAGAGTCCAAAAATGTAACACTGTGATTTCAACTATCCTTGATTTACTATGTATTTGTCTTTCTCTCTCCCTCTCTCGCCCCCAACATGTGTATATTTCCCCATGTATAGTCGTAACAGAAATACTATCCAGGTATAGCACTCTTTGTCCACCTTTACCATTTCAATTGCATTGTTTCTATAGAGCTATGTAAAATGTCATTGTCACAAAGCACTTGACAAAGAAACCTAGTGTCCCTCTCATGAGGATTCCATCTACAAACTATTTTCAGTCGTTCAGCCCTCAGGCTACTTTCTCTGTAGCTGACAATACTGTACTTAATCTAACCACACACATTTTACATGATTCAAATATTAAATAGTAATTGAACCTCATTGCTTAGTTAGATCAGTTAATCTGTGTGTGTGTGTGCGTGTGTGTGTGCGTGTGTGTGTGTGTGTGTGTGTGTGTGTGTGTGTACTTGTTTTCCTACATTATCAGGACCCTAATGTCCAAACATTTCACCTGAATATCCTGAAAAGGTAGGAAAACAAGAACTTCTTTTAGAAAAGTCCGGACTTTTTTCAGGTCCTGAATTTGTTCAAATGCTATTTTAAGCTTACGGGTTAGGTTTAGGATTTGGGGTTAAGGTTAGGTGTAGGCATTAGGGAAAATACGTTTTTCAATGGTCAAAGATTTCGTGTGTGCGTGCGTGCATGCGTGCGTGCGTGTAGGATTATAGCCCAGTACCAGTAGTACCATTTGAACCCAGGTCTGGTAGAAACACTACACCAGGACAGCCAATGACAGTGAGTGGACCAAATCCGGCCAACCAAAAACAGAGAGCATGGCTTAGCGTGACAGATGTGTCATGACCTAGTAACCTGCCTGTGTGACACATGATGGGTTATATGATAAGCCATGCGGCTTCTGTTCTGTGTGCTGTCAAATGTTATCTTCACAGGACCTTTGAATGTCATAAGAGGTTGTGTGAGGTCTTCTGACCGTGGACCAGAGTTTAGCAGAGAACCATCACCATGTGAATCAGATTACAGATGATTTCCCTGCATTCTGCAAAGCTGTTAATATAAAGAAGGAAATAAAATGTATTTACATTGGAATATGTTTTCACTAAGGAGGAGTCAAAAATAGAAACATATAGCAGCTTCATTTCATTCTAGTTATAGAAAGAGGGATGGATGATACCGCATACAGTGGCTTGTTATTATGCCGCGTTCTCTTCATGTTGGAAACTCAGACATTTCCGACTTGTTCGCGTGTTGTAGAAAGAGTTTCCCACTTGGGAAGTATCAGAATCAACCAATAGGAAGCTCTACACAAATAACTTACGTTCATTTTAACTCAGAGGTCCCGAGTTTGACGTGAACACGGCATTGACGTGAACGCGGCATTACACATCTCTTGGATGCTGATGGTAACAGTGGGGCACAGACCAAATTACCAAACCCTTAAAAGTCAATCAAATCAGGCAGAGTCAACTGAGGAAATGCATTAACAAGCAGAACCCTTGAGAGAGGAGAGACAGCAGACAACTGCACTGTAGTAGGCTTCATTTAATAATGTATTAAATACAGCATAATACACTTCATATTGATACATGTATATACACCGGTACTTTTACTACAGAGACAATTTAATTTGAAAATTGTATTGCTAGGCATGTTAAATAGAATGTATATTTAATATATAAAATGAAATATAATATCATAAATATAATGACTAACAAAACATGTCCTTTGTGCTACTGATTGCGATGCGGTGTTATAAGTCGTAAGGTTCAGGACGTGATGACGATGAGACACATGCTACTTAATGGCCACTGGGCAGAATAAAGAAACATACAAATTCCACAGGAATACAGTCATAGGTGCATTTGAAATGACACCCTATTCCCTACATAGTGCACTACTTACGGCCAGGGTCCATGAGGTTCTGGCCAAAGGTAATGCACTATATAGGGAATATGGTGCCATTTTGTATGCAGACAATGTCCGGTTGCCAGATCTACTGCTACTTTTGCTAACTCCTTTATGGTAAACAACTCTTTTATCATTGTTGTCTTAAGCAGAACTGAACTGGCAACCAGGCTGCATTGATGATATATGCATCTCGTGCATACATCCCATCTTACTGTAACACAATCCTATGTTCAAATGTACAATATATCATACACATCACTGTATCTAGCACCTTCATTCTAACATGAGGTTTCAGGTTGATATGCTCAGCAAATACCCTACAAGTAGGGTAAAATACAGTACTGGTCCATGAAGTAACTAGGACTTGGCTGTGTCTTTAACATCTGGACAAAAATAACATCACTGTGGTATTTGTATATTAATTTATTAGGCCTTTTGGGTACATATTAAAAATTATTGAAATCAAGTGCATTTGCATGAAGGAATTAGAGGCATGGTTTGTTCAAAGTAAAATAGTGCAATTTCACATTCCTTATCATTAATAATGAGTTACATTGTTAGAGCTATTTGTTGTGCGTACAGGTAGAATGTGTGAATAAAAGTGCATGCAGAACAATTCAAGAGAACATAAATACTGTGCTCTGTTAAGGTAAGGTATCATCTCGAACCAAGAACCAAATATCACTCTACTATAGCAGCTAGCAGTCTGTCATGAGAGATCAGGTAAGGTCATATATATATATTTTTTAAGGGAATTAACCATCTTCAACATAAACCATTCGCATTCATAACAAACCTTTGACTGACAGAGAGACAGACAGACAAAGACAGACAGAGAGACAGACAGACTATGTAAAAATAAAGAAAATCCCTGAGGACTAAAATCCTACTGATACATAAGTTGTTGTTGAGAACACTGACGGACGGGGAGAGACAGCTGAAATTCCTAATGTCATACAGTCCTTCTGTTAACTTAAAAATGTTTTTCCAACACACTCATTTAGCTAGCACAACTAATGTGAACATACTCATCTTTTCAGCATCGACAAGAGCAATTGCAATCATTTTTTCGAATAAGCATGATATGAATTCATGGCTACATACATTGAGTTAATTAATGTATGAAGGAATACATGAGTGGACGGACGAATGTTGTATTGTGACAGGGTGTGCCCTTCAAAATAAAATGTTTTTTGCTTGTAGTGAGGGAGGGAGGGATGGAGAAAGGGAGGGATGGAGGAGAGGAAGTAAGGAGAGAAGGACTGGGGGAAGGAGAAAAGGAATGAAGGAAAGAGAGAGGGAGAAAAGGAAGTTGTGAAGGAACGACGGAGAGAAGGAAAAAGAGAAGAACTGGTCCTACTAGCTGGAAAGGTCATTGAGGTCACCACCCTGTTCTATGACGGCCTTGGCAAACTGCTTGAACACGCGGTCCATGTAGGTACTCCGTCGGGGCCACAGGCCCTCCAGGAAACCAATATGGCCCCCGTGGCAGGTAATGAGAAGGGCTAGGTTAGGGTTCTGCTTCACTGCCTCCACTGGAATGGCTGAGGAGGAGAAGAGACAAAACACATTGTTAATAATCTAGCAGTCAAGCAAAGGATACATACACCAAGCACTATACAGTAGGTTGGAGATTTGACTTCCAAAACCACACAGAAATACTATATGCACGTACACATTAGGGCATTACAAGAAATGTACAGTCTTCTACATCAAGGGTTCTCAAAGGTGGTACTGCAAAGGGAGTCAGAGGCTAGATATAACACAATTATAATACACAAAATTATAATTCATTTTTTAAATGAATAATACTAACAACAGATTAAACTAATTTTGGCCAAGGGTCCGTGGAATAAGTTTAGAGGGTGTAATACAATGTAATATTATTAATCTTCAATTTATGTTCTTAACCCTGGGCAACATGGGCCTGGGAGGCTCACAGGGATATTGGTATCCACCAAAGAAATAGAATGAAGAAAAAAAGAAACCTTTATTCTATTTCTATGGTATCCACATTACTCCACCAATTGACCATTCGCTAAGCCCCACCTCCGAATTTTGGGCAACCAGTCGCAGCGCTCCAACGGATAGCAACTGTAGTTGAGTCCGACACCTCGGACAAGAATGTTTAAATGTCTAAATAATTTAACAGTGCACCAGGAGTAATTGCTACTGTGATTCCTGAAATGCAGAGCCTGTTGATGGCTAATTTTTCAAATCCTAAATTATATTTTTGTTACATTGTTTGCTAGTCTCATTGACCACCAAACGTTGCTAATGCTAGCTAGCTAGCCAGCCACTTGATATAACTTGTTTTCTCTAAATGTATGTTAGCTAGCTAAGTTAGCAATGTTATGAATACTTAGCTCCCATCTGCTGTCGACATCAGGATATGATTTGAGAGCACTAGTTAGCTCCAAAAGTGATTATAGCTTTGACTGCATGCTGACAGTGAATTCAGAGTAATTCAGAGGCTAGCTACACTACAAACATAATTTTATCAGGTTCCTGTAAAGCAATTGTAATGACAGTCCACCACAACATACCCAAGAGCTTCCTGATTAGCAAGGGGTAGTCTGTGTTTAATTTGATTGTGTACTAGAAACACAGTTTGAGATCATTGTGAGCGGATTTCACCAGTGGTTAAATGGGGAATTGGGCTTCCTGGGAAAATGTTGTCTGAGGTTGCAACAGTAACCAAGGGGGATGTGGCTTAGCTAAGGGTCAATTATCCATTTCAGTTCAATACTTCTTGTATTGCCCAAAATGTTTTTTTTTTAAACATACAGTGCCTTCTGAAAGTATTCATACGCTTTTAATTATTCCACATGTTGTTGTGTTACAGCCTGAATTCAAAATTGATTACATTTATATTTTTACTCACCAATCTACACACAATACCCCATAATGGCAAAGTTAAAACATGTTTTTAGAAAGGTTTGCACATTTATTGAAAATGAATTAAATAAATATCACATTTACATAAGTATTCACACCCCTGAGTCAATACATGTTAGAATCACCTTTGGCAGTGATTACAGCTGTAAGTCTTTCTAGGTAAGTCTCTAAGAGCTTTTCACACCTGGATTGTGCAATATTTGCACATTATTCTTTTCAAAATTCTTCAAGCTCTGTCAAGTTGGTTGTTGATCATTGCTAGACAGCCATTTTCAAGTCTTGCCATAGATTTTCAAACCGATTTAAGTCAAAATTGTAACTAGGCCACTCAGGAACATTCATCATCTTGGTAAGCAATTCCAGTGTATATTTGGCCTTGTGTTTTAGGTTATTGTCCTGCTGAAAGGTGAATTTGTCTTCCAGTGTCTGTTGGAAAGCAGACTGAACCAGGTATTCCTCTAGGATTTTGCCTGTGCTTAGCTCTATTCCGTTTATTTTTATCCCCAAAAACTCCCTAGTCCTTGCCAATGACAAGCATACCCATAACATGATGCAGCCACCACCATGCCTGAAAATATGAAGAGTGGTACTCAGTGATGTGTTGTGTTGGACTTGCCCCAAACATAACGCTTTGTATTCAGGACATAAAGTTAATTTCTTTGCCACATTTTTTGCAGTTTTACTTTAGGGCCTTATTGCAAACAGGATGCATGTTTTAGAATATGTTTTATTCTGTACAGGCTTCCTTCTTTTCACTCTGTCATTTAGGTTAGTATTGTGGAGTAACTGAGGGACCTTACAAATAATTGTGACTTATTATGTGACTTTTTAGGCACATTTTTACTCCTGAACTTATTTAGGCTTGCCATAACAAAGGGGTTGAATACTTATTGGCTCAAGACATTTCAGCTTTTAATTTGTAAGAATTTGTAAAAAATTCTAAAAACATAATTCCATTTTGACATTATAGGGTATTGTGTGTAGGTCAGTGACACAAAATCTCAATTGAATCCATTTTACATTCAGGCTGTAACACAACAAAATGTGGAAAAAGTAAAGAGGTGTGAATATTTTCTGAAGGCACTGTAAATACACTGCAATTTAATCTTTAAAATTGCAAAGTTCTCTCTAGCTCATGGCAAAATGTGTGCCTTCAATAAAATGTGCCTTCCCAGGGCCCGAGACTTGGTTCATCCAGCCATGCACTGACAAAGTCATAGTAGAACTCCTTGTATCTCACTTGAATTTGTGTTCTGATTTTGAGGGGGTCCCTGATTAATTTTCTATCACAAAAGGGGTGCCCGACCCCAAAAAGTTTGAGAACCACTGTTTTACATCAACACTCATTGTGTATTTGCCTGCATCGTCTTTCCGTATAGGCCTTGCTCATCGGCTATGTAACCAACATGGAGGCCCAGTGGTGGGGTGTGATTGTGGATTCACCATGACAGGGGGAGAAGACGTCGTCTGCAGCGTTCAGACACAACATTGGCACCTGCACAGACTTGAGCTTGTGGATGGGACTGGCATCGTGGTAGTAGTCATCGTTGGTGGGGTAGCCAAACATAATAGACGTGAACCTCTCATCAAACTCACGGATGGTCTTGGCCTGCATGGGGGTTGGAATAAACAATGTTGGCAGCAGTCCAAGAGGGCCATAAGGACGAGACTAGAATAGATTGTTTTCTTTTACTTTGATTCGATTTACAGGAGCATTAAAAAGGAGGTGCATTTTACCTTCATCACATGATCAATGTCGTAACTCTTCTCAAGGACAGATTTGTGTCTAGAGGAGAGAAAAACATGAGGAAGCAAGTTTGCTTCAATGGGGAACATGGGGAAGTAGGTTTGATTCAATGGAGAACATGGGGAAGTAGGTTTGCTTCAATGGGGATCATGGGGAAGCATGGGGGTTTGCTTTAATATCCAGTGGCAATGTTCGTGATATGATTGGGGCCTGAGAGTAAAGTACAGAGTAGAAAATATGTCCAGGATCCCCAGAGAGAGATAGCGGAGAGAGATAGAGAGAGCGGAGAGCGTGAGGAGAGAGTGAGAGGGAGGGCAGCAAGAGTGAGAGCGAGAGAGGAGAGAGAGAGGGGAGAGAGAGAGAGGGATAGAAAGAGAGAGAGGGAGAGGCTTGTGGCCAAGCTAGTTCACACCCTCCACAAACCTTAGGGATCAGGCGTTAACCGCTAAAAGCAAAACAATGTAGCCCAGTGCAAATAACAGCTAAGAAAGGCTAATCCCCCAGCCCAGGCTCCAGCCTCCTCTGGCCCCCACCCACCTGTCCACGCCTGCCTGCAGGCAGCTGGTGAGGTAAGAGTTAAAGAGGAAGCGGTCCAGAGGCTTCTCCAGCGACGCTGTACACGCAAACACATCCCAGCCTGCCGAGAACACCACCACACCCTTCAGACACGTCTCCCTGCCCTTCTTCCCCAGGTAGTTTGCCAGCATCATCCTGGGGTTCAAAAGAGGGGGAGAGGGTTGCGGGGAGAAGGGAGAGGGGTGAGCAGAGGAGGATTGTGAAATGTTACATTTTTAATCAATCCGCATTTAGCTAGGAGATTATAGCTTGAATACCTCTTTTCACATGGTGTAAGTACTACTGAGAGGCTGAGCTCTCTGAATTAAATGAAAAGTATTGTTTCTGACAGCGGGAAAGCATGAGGCTGCAAAATCTAAAAATACATAACCAACCCATGACATCATTTCTGCTTGTGAGCGTTGACCTTTTTTGAATATCATTAAAAACCTAAGGATGACCAAGTGCGCTCTCTAGTCTCTACATAAAACATACTCGCTTCAGACTGACTCCCACAGTTCAGTGAAGTGATACTGTAGTACAGTATTGCTCCATACAGATCCTGTTGACCTCAATAAGCTACATCAATACATGATTTATGCAGAAGTCTGAGTTATGCATGCGCTTGGGATTTGGCCCACAGTGTATAGTGTCACTGTCCATTGAAGTGAGAACGCATGAAGAGGCACCTACCCGCCCATGGAGACCCCAGCAGCCATGAGAGGGGCATCCTCATTTGTCCTCTGGATGTGTTCGATGACAGCCTCTAGGTCCTCTGTGTTGGCAGCGCAGTATGTTCTGGGTGTCTGGGTGACACGTAAAGATAAGAAGAGTTCACCATGTGTGCTTTCGCAGTGTGTGTGTGTTTGTATGTGTGTGTACTGTGTACCATCTCCCTGCACGTGCATACACCATTGCGGTATCTAGAGTCAGATGTGCACATAAGGTACATTAATTAAATATCACATTTACATAAGTATTCAGGCCTTTCACTCAGTACTTTGTTGAAGCACCTTTAGCAGCAATTACAACCTTGAGTCTTCTTCAGCTTGGCACCCCTGTATTTGGGGAGTTTCTCCCATTCTTCTCTGCAGATGCTCTCAAGCTCTGTCAGGTTAGATGGGGAGCGTTGCTGCACAGCTATTTTCAGGTCTCTCCAGAGATGTTCGATCAGGTTCAAGTCCGGGCCCTGGCTGGGTCACTCAAGGACATTCAGAGACTTGTCCCGAAGCCACTCCTGCATTGTCTTGGCTGTGTGCTTAGGGTCGTTGTCCTGTTGGAAGGTGAACCTTTGCCCCAGTCTGAGGTCCCGAGCGCTCTGGACCAGGCTTTTCATCAAGGATCTCTCTATACATTGCTCTGTTTATCTTTGCCTCAATCCTGACTAGTCTCCCAGTCCCTGCTGCTGAAAAACACCCCCACAGCATGATGCTGCCACCACCATGCATTCAGGTCAAAGAGTTGAATCTTGGTTTCATCAGACCAGATCATCTTGTTTCTCATGGTCTGAGAGTCTTTAGGTGCCTTTTGGCAAACTCCAAGTGGGTTGTCATGTACCTTTTACTGAGGAGTGGCTTCCGTCTGGCCACTCTACCATAAAGGCCTGATTGGTTGGAGTGCTGCAGAAATGGTTGTCCTTCTGGAAGGTTCTCCCATCTCGACAGAGGAACTCTAGAGCTCTGTCAGAGTGAACATCGGATTCTTGGTCACCTCCCTGACCAAGGCCCTTCTCCCCCGATTGCTCAGTTTGGCCGGGCGGCCAGTTTTAGGAAGATTCTTGGCGGTTCCAAACTTCTTCCATTTAAGAATGATTGAGGCCACTGTGTTCTTGGGGACCTTCAATGCTGCAGAAATGTTTTGGTACCCTTCCCCAGATCTGTGCCTCGACACAATCCTGTCTCTGAGCTCTACGGACAATTCCTTCGACCTCATGGCTTGGTTTTTGCTCTGACATGTACTGTCAACTGTGGGACCTTATATAGACAGGTGTGTGCCTTTCCAAATCATGTCCAATCAATTGAATTTACCACAGGTGGACTCCACTCAAGTTGTAGAAACATCTCAAGGATGATCAGTGGAAACAGGATGCACCTGAGCTCAATTTCGAGTCTCATAGCAAAGGGTCTGAGTACTTATGTAAATAAGGTATTTCTGTTTTTCTTTTTAATAAATTTGCAAAACATTTCTAAAAACCTGTTTTCGTTTGTCATTATGGGGTATTGTGTGTAGATTGCTGAGGACTTGTTTTAATTTAAATCCATTTTAGAATAAAGCTGTAATGTAACAAATTGTGGAAAAAGTCAAGGGGTCTGAATACTTTCCGAAGGCACTGTATATACCTGTACATACAAAATACTGGAAATGGATTAAGGACCTGCCATTACAGTACTTCCTATCTCACCATGCAGACAACACATGACGTTTGTTCAATTTTTTTCACATGTGCACTCATAGAGATCCTATTAAATTACTAGTGCTCTAATTCCTAATTCTGTGTGTGCACTACAATATCGGCCCAGTTTGGCAACTGAGAATAGCCCTTTCAGTTGAAACCCTGGCCTGGGTTATAAGATACAGTAACTGGTGTGTGTGTGTTCATGTGTGTGTGTGTGTTTGTGCTTGCGTGCATGTGTTTGTGTGTGTTCATGCTTGTGTGTGTGTGTGTGTGTCTATGTGACTGTGCATGTGAATACAACTACGACATGCCACAAAACAAAGCATTTATTTATTCTGAGAGCACAGATCTCAAAAAGGACATTGGACGAATTGTGGCCATTAACTATGGTATGATACAAGGTTCCATTTATCGATTGGCTGAGCTGTTTGGGTGACACTGATACCTAATATAATGTATGCACATTTCCCAACGAATTAGCATCTCTTGAATAGCATCATAGCACTTCCTCACTTCAACTGAGATTGACAGCAGAGTAAAGACCTAATTGTTGGCTAAATAGATCTGCAACGGGCCATAGATTCATAGATGAAGCTACAGTGGGTGTCAGAACAGCATGTGATTGATGAAGACAGGACAGGGTAAAGTCATTCTGCTCTGTGGTTCAGTGCTAGAATACACTATTTATCCACCTGTAACTGAATCCCTGCTATGTAACAACATAGTCTGTCTGCACCCTGTCTGGACTAGGCTCCCTATGGGTTACACACTACACTATGGGTTACACACTATGGGTTACACATGACACAGACATGTTATGGGTTGCTGGGTGACATAGTGAAGGGGACGTCACACTGATAAATAGCACCAATGACAATGCAGGGGAAAGCATGCACAGGCATGTGGAATACCACAAGGATGTAGGGCCTATGTCTTTGTCATGTTGTGAGTGTTTGCATATTGTGTAGATACCTTTTGATTGTACAGAGTAATATAGTCGTTGCAAACTGTTATGTTTTTTGAATGCATGTCTGAATTTAAAACATAAAAGGCATACATGCACGAATCCATGTAAACTGTACTTTGTATGAATATTAGATTCTTACCAAGAGAGTTTCGCCAGACACCCCTCTGTTGTTGAATACCGCACACCTGAAACACAAAAACATGCACTTTACCCTTTGAATTCCATTCATTCCATTTCTTTCGTTGCATTCCTTACATTTCTTGAGAAGTGACACTAGTTTCACCATTTGAGAAATGACAAGATTATTGCTAATATGATTACGTTCCTAAATGTAAGCGAGTACCAGCAGACTATGTGTGATAACTATGTTTTAACTTCCAGGTGCACTGCATGACTCAAAAGAACACGCTGCCCCCAATCTGTTTTTCTATTAGTACTGAACAGCAGTAGCAGACATCTCTCTACTCATCTGTTATCTGAGAGACTCAGACTTGCTGTTTCTATCTGTCAAATTCAGCAGCAGGGTGGGGCCATACTGTAGATTGGGGGGTGGACAGGGAAAGGAGTGGTGACGTACATTTGCTTCCTGCTGCATAGGGGAAGCTGGTTGGGCTAAACTAAGCTGCAAAGCTTGTACCAATAAGCTGTAATTCATTAAGCTAGCAGGACAGGGGCGAGGGCCGGCTTGCATGCTACCCTCCCTTCCCTGCTCCGTTTGCTTGCCTGCCCCCCTCCCTTACCTTCTCTAAACTGCTTCCTTCGTTTCAAAGAATGAGTACAGAGAACACAGAGGGGCCTTTTGGAGGAGAAGAAACTGCCTCACTCGGCATCTCTTAGTGCTTGTGCAACGTTCAGCTCTTTCTTTCCAAAGCAGCTCTGCTCTGCCTACTAAGAGCTTGGCTAGCCTCTATATTGTTGCAGCTGCCTACCTCAAGTAACCCTAATCCATTCATACACAGTTTTTATAACACAATGTACAAATGCGTTTGTAAGTATTGTCAACTCCTGACATACAGTATGTTCACTGCAAAGATAATGTATTTGAATTTGGAATACTGAACTGCAATGCACTGAAACAGATGAGCATGTTATCAAGAGTTGACTGTACACAGTTTTTAAAATAGTCCTACAGGCTAAGATATAGGCCTAATCCACAGTATTGAATGGAACGATAGTTTGAATTAATGAAAACTGTGCAGTACTGTCTAGTACTTCAAGCCAGGACCACCCACCTATATCCCAGCTCCTTGCTCTGCTGGACCATGTGGAGGATGTAGGACTCTCTGCTGGTGCCGGTCAGGCCAGGCAGCAGGAGGACGGTGGGCCGCGTGGCCGAGTTGGGGTGGGAAGCGCTGTCATCGTTGTCGAACCAATCCAGAGAGATCTGCCCTCCATCTGCTGCACCAATGAGCTCACTGCAGAGAGGATGTCAGACATAACAGTCAGAAGAGAAGCGGGACAGGCCTGGTAGAAAAAGACAGCACTAAATTACAGACACACACACTAGGGATTATCATGGGTAACCGGGATCCCGGGACTGTCCCGGGAACACTTCACCTTTCCCTACATCCCTGTTAGTGAGGTTATTTTCCTATCCAGTCCCAATCCCAATCCCACCCAAAATCCTGACTCCTGTCTTGCATGAAAATTCCTAACTTTATTCTGTAATCCATAGGTTTGTTTATCAAAAAGCACGTCTCTCGCTTATGCATGTCAAAATACCGCTATAACATTTATTCCGCTTCTCTGCGCTGTCTCGTACTTGCTGCCCATATGAGAGCTTCGGTAGAGAATGTGTGAATGGGGAGGGGGTACTAAGCTAACATATGGAATTGTTTTAAGATGGTCATAGCATGGATCATTTAGCTATTTGATTTAAAATGTTAGAGTCCTAAAACAAAAGTATTGAATTTGGCCTTTACTACTATAGCCCATAGAAATGCATTGAATAACGCATTCAGAAATGGCAAAAAATAGATTCCTTATGATTAATTTTTTGACTAAGGTTTTGAAGTGTCTGTCCTACATCTAGGAGATAAACTACACGACCAAAAGTATGTGGAAACCTGCTCGTCGAACATCTCATTCAAAAATCATGGGGATTAATATGGAGTTGGTCCCCCCTTTGATGCTATAACAGCCTCCACTCTTCTGGGAAGGCTTTCCACTAGATGTTGGAACATTGCAGCGGGGACTTGCTTCCATTCAGCCACAAGAGCATTAGTGAGGTCGGGCATTTATGTTGGCCGATTAGGCCTGGCTCGCAGTCAGTGTTCCAATTCATCCTAAAGGTGTTCGATGGGGTTGAGGTCAGGGCTCTGTGCAGGCCAGTCATGTTCTTCCACACCAATCTTGACAAACCATTTCTGTATGGACCTCGCTTTGTGCACGGGGGCATTGTCATGCTGAAACAGGAAAGGCCTTCCCCAAACTGTTGCAACAAAGTTGGAAGCACAGAATCATCTAGAATGTCATTGTATGCTGTAGCGTTACGATTCCCCTTCACTGGAACTAAGGGGCCTAGCCTGAACCATGAAAAAAAGCCTCAGACTATTATTCCTCCTCCACCAAACTTTACAGTTGGCACTATGCATTGGGGCAGGTAGCGTTCTCCTGGCATGCGCCAAAACCAGATTCGTCCAGATGGTGAAGCGTGATTCGTCACTCCAGAGAACACGTTTCCACTGCTCCAAAGCCCAATGGCAGCGAGCTTTACACCACTCCAACTGAAGCTTGGCATTGCACATGGTGATCTTAGGCTTATGTGCGGCTGTTCGGCCATGGAAACCGATTTCATGAAGCTCCCGACGAACAGTTCTTGTGCTGACGTTGTTTCCAGAGGCAGTTTGGAACTCGGTATTGAGTGTTGCAACCGAGGACAGACAATTTTTACGTGTTACGCACTTCAGCACTCAACGGTCCCGTTCTGTGAGTTTGTGTGGCCTACCACTTTGCGGCTGAGCCATTGTTGCTCCTACACTTTTCCAATTCACAATAACAGCACTTACAATTGACCGGGGCAGATCTAGCAGGGCAGAAATTTGACGAACTGACTTGTTGGAAAGGTTGCATCCTATGACAGTGCCACGTTGAAAGTCACTGAGCTCTTCAGTAAGGCCATTCTACTGCCAATATTTGTCTATGTAGATTGCATGGCTGTGTGCTCGATTCTATACACCTGTCAGCAACGTGTGTGGCTGAAATAGCCGAATCCACTAATTTGAAAGGGTGTCCACATACTTTTGTATATACTGTATAGTGTATATCTATATCTATATGTACACTGAACAAAAATATAAACGCAACATGTAAAGTGTTCGTCCCATGTTTCATGAGCTGAAATAAAAAATCCCTGAAATCTTCCATACGCACAAAAAGCTTATTTCTCTCAAATTTTGTGCACACATTTATTTACATCCCTGTTAGTGAGCATTTCTCCTTTGCAAAGAGAATCCATCCATCTGACAGGTGTGGCATATCAAGAAGCTGATTAAACAGCATGATCATTACACAGGCGCACGTTGTGCTGGGGACAATAAAAGGCCAATGTGCAGTTCTGTCACACATCACAATGCCACAGATGTCTCAAGTTTTGAGGGAGCGTGCAATTGGCATGCTGACTGCATGAATGTCCACCAGAGCTGTTGCCAGAGAATTTAATGTTAATTTTTCTACCGTAAGCCGCCTCCAACGTTGTTTTATAGAATTTGGCAGTACGTCCAACCGGCCTCACAACCGCAGACCATGTGTATGGCGTCGTGTGGGCAAACGGTATGCTGATGTCAACGTTGTGAACAGAGTGCATAAGCTATGGACAACGAACACAATTGCATTTTATCAATGCCAATTTGAATGCACAGAACTACCGTGACGAGGTCCTGAGGCCCATTGTGAGGCCCATTTTTTTTAAAGGTATCTGTGACCAACAGATGCATATCTGTATTCCCAGTCATGTAAAATCCATACATAAGGGCCTAATACATTTATTTCAATTGACTGATTTCCTCATATGAACTGTAACTCAGTAAAATCTTTGAAATTGTTGTATGTTGCGTTTTTCTTCAGTATATACATATAGTCCCAGTCAAATGTTTGGACACACCTACTCATTCTTTTTTAAAACTATTTTCTACATTGTAGTATAATAGTGAAGATAGCAAAACTATGAAATAACACATATGGAATCATGTAGTAACCAAACAAGTGTTAAACAAATCTAAAAAAAATTGAGATTTGAGATTTTTCAAAGTAGCCACCCTTTGCCTTGTTGACAGCTTTGCACACTCTTGGCATTCTCTCAACCAGCTTCATGAGGAATGCTTTTCCAACAGTCTTGAAGGAGTTCCCACATATGCTGAGCACTTGTTGGCTGCTTTTCCTTCACTCTGTAGTCCAACTCATCTCAAACCATCACAATTGTGTTGAGGTCGGGTAATTGTGGAGGCCAGGTCATCTGATGCAGCACTCCATCACTCTCCTTCTTGGTCAAATAGCCCTTACACAGCCTGGAGGTGTGTTTTGGGTCATTGTCCTGTTGAAAAACAAATCATAGTCCCACTAAGTGCAAACCAGATGGGATGGCATATCGATGCAGGAATGCTGTGGTAGCCATGCTGGTTAAGTGTGCCTTGAATTCTAAATAAATCAGTGATAGTGTCACCAGCAAAGCACCCCCACACCATCATACCTCCTCCTCCACGCTTCTCAGTGGGAACTACACATGTGGAGATCATCCATTCACCTACTCTGCGTCTCACAAAGACACAGCGGTTGGAACCAAAAATCTCAAATTTGGACTCATCAGACCAAAAGACAGATTTCCACCGGTCTAATGTCCATTGTTCATGTTTCTTGGCCCAAGCAAGTCTCTTCTTATTATTGGTGTCCTTTAGTAGTGCTTTCTTTGCAGCAATTCAACCATGAAGGCCTGATTCACGCAGTCTCCTCTGAACAGTTGATGTTGAGATGTGTCTGTTACTTGAACTCTGTGAAGCATTTATTTGGGCTGCAATCTGAGGCACAGTTAACTCTAATGAACTTATCCTTTGCAGTAGAGGTAACTCTGGGTCTTCCATTCCTGTGGCAGTCCTCATGAGAGCCAGTTTCATCATAGCGCTTGATGGTTTTTGCAACTGCACTTGAAGAAACTTTCTAAGTTTTTGAAATTTTCTGGATTGACTGACCTTCGTGTTTTAAAGTAATGATGGACTGTCGTTTCTCTTTGCTCATTTGAGCTGTTCTTGCCATAATATGGACTTGGTAGTTTACCAAATAGGGCTATCTTCTGTATACCACCCCTTCTTTGTCACAACACAACTGATTGGCTCAAATGCATTAAGAAGGAAAGAAATTCCACAATTTAACTTTTAAGAAGGCACACCTGTTAATTGAAATTCCACATTCCAGGTGACTACCTCATGAAGCTGGTTGAGAGAATGCCAAGAGTGTGCAAAGCTGTCATCAAGGCAAAGGGTGTGTCACGATCGTCAGGGAGAGACCAATGCGCAGCGTGTTGAAAGAACATGTTTACTTTATTAAATTAAAGCACGAACAAAACAACAAACGACTCGTGAAGTCCACGGTGACAATGACCGAACACGGAACAAAAACCCACAAACACAAAGTGAAAAACAGACAGTTTAAATATGGCTCCCAATCAGAGACAACCAGCCAACAGCTGACACTCGTTGCCTCTGATTGGGAGTCACTCAGGCAAACATAGAAAACAACAAACTAGAACCCCCAACATAGAAATAACCACATAGAATGAACACACCCTGGCTCAACAAATAGAGTCCCAGAGCCAGGGTGTGACAGTACCCCCCCCTAAAGGCGCGGACTGCGACCGCGCCTCAATACGAGCAAAACAGGGGAGGGCTGGGTGGGCATTCCTCCTCGGCGGCGGTTCTGGCTCCGGGCTTGCCCACCACCCTCCAATAAACCCCCCATAGCGCCCCTGGTCCGGTCTGGCCCCGCTGGCTGGAGCTGACCTGGACGTAGCAGGAGCGGCTAGCTTCAGCTCCGTTGTGGAGCAGTTGAGCGGTACCTGATTTGGCACCGATGACCCAGGCACGGGTTGTGCCGGACTGACGACGCGCACCCCTGGCTTGGTGCGTGAGGCAGGAACTGACCGGACCGGGCTGACGATGCGCACCCCTGGCTTGGTGCGTGGAGCAGCAACGGGCCGGACCGGGCTGACGATGCACACCCCTAGCTTGGTGCGTGGAGCCGGAACGGGCCTCACCGGACTGACGACTCGCACCCCTGGCTTGGTGCGAGTAGCAGGAACGGGCTGGACCAGGCTGACGACTCGCACCCCTGGCTTGGTGCGAGTAGCAGGAACGGGCTGGACCAGGCTGACGACTCGCACCCCTGGCATGGTGCGAGTGGCAGGAACAGGCCGGGCCGGGCTGG